AAGAATGTTTAGGCAGTTTACTAATAAAAGTGTATGCAACTGAAATGTAATTTAGAACAAGAACAATGTATCTTATTTATACAGATTGTAATTATTGCTGTGAATCAGTGTGATAGAATTAAACATACCAACATACATTTTGTTTTCTAGATGAACAATCATGGTTACTTGTGTGAGAATTTGAAGAATTATGAAACGGTGATAAAGGAGCAGAAACTGAATGAGAAAGCCCTTTACAAACGTGATAACAACGACATAAGGAAAGTCTTGAACATGAACTTCGGAGACTGGACAGCTTTCAGCGTACACTTTTTATGTGTTCTCCCACCACCCGTAGAGCTTTCATCTGCCCCAGTGAGTAACACGCAGGGTGCTTCCTGAACGTTCCAGAGAACATTCCAAAACGAATGGTCTGTAGGACAGCAAACAAGCTCTTCTCAAAACATGATCTCGCATGGAATGAGTTTTTTGTCAAACCACTTGAGTAATGGCACTCAGAGACGCTTTGCACTATAAGCACATAATAAGTATTTAGAAAAGTCAGAACCAGATCCATGTTGCTTGATTACAGGAGCCAGGTTTTTGACAAAGATAAAACATTGCTTAACATTGTGCAATATTGCTGAGGCTTGAATAACACGACTTAGGAAGTAGGAACACTTTATTCATGAATGCAAATAAATGTTTACTTATTCAGAATATATACTGCTCGGAATTTACTTGCTGTGATCTGACAGAGACCTAAATAAATATGCATTAAAGCAATGGACCTTAAAATCATTTATATATATATTTGGTTAATATGTGTTAAAGGAACACTATAGTGCCAGGAAAACAGAGCCGTTTTCCTGGCACTATATGGTTATTAGGTCCCCCCTTCCCTCGTGGCTCCCCTCCCTCTAGGCTGTAGGAGTTAAAACCCCTTTAGCCACTTACCTTAATCCAGTACCGGGTTCCCCCAGTGCTGGTGACCTCTCCTCCCCGTGCTGACATCAGCTCCGAATGCATATGAGCGGCAAGAGCCGCGTGCGCATTTAGACCGCCCATAGGAAAGCATTACTCAATGCTTTCCTATGGACGTCCAGTGTGTCCTCAATGTGATTTTCACACAGAGAATCGCGAAAGTGGCCTCTAGCGGCTGTCAGTGAGTCAGCCACTAGAGGCTGGATTAACCCTGAGTAAAACTGCTATGTTAACAATGACTGACAGAGCCATAGGATGAGCCAAGCAAGTCACCTTAAAACCCAGTGCATTCTGGGAACATCAAACATACGTTGCCTATATAAAGGCAATAACTTTTTTATAGATAGTAACAGTACCTCGTCGGCATACAGCTGGAAGATGTAAATATTCACCGCTGACCCCCTGTTTGCTTAAATTAAATGTTCCCTTCAGCTTAATGTAACTTTTTAAGGTGGTCCATAGGGGCAGGTGGGGTATTGCCTCCCTCAGTCTTTGTTGCAATATAAAATACATAATAATAATTCTGCACCTCTATCCCCACATTTCAATGACTGGAGAGGCAGCTAAGAGGCTGGTAATCTTGTCAAGGTTTGGGGGCATTTTTGGAAAACGCCCCTTTTCTCTGGCCGTAGACCCCTCAGATCTGGTTAGTCTGCTCTAACAGGTGTAAAAAATGGAAATAAGAATAAAAAACACTTTTCCATAGTTTTGTTTTTAAAAGGTTACTTCAATCCTATAAACTGTAAGCTCGTTTGAGCAGGGTCCTCTTCAACCTATTGTTCCTGTAAGTTTTCTTGTAATTGTCCTATTTATAGTTAAATCCACCCTCTCAAAATATTGTAAAGCGCTGCGGAATCTGTTGACGCTATATAAATGGCAATAATAATAATAATAATAAACATCATGACCACTAGAGCACGTTGCAAGAGGTAAGATTACACTTTAACTTAGTACGGGCAATGCTTCACACTGAAAAACTGCACATGCAGACTCAAATCACTGAGGTGGTCATAGATAAAAAAAAAAAAAAAAAAACATTGCAAAAATTCAACTATGGCCAACACCTTGTTATAGAAAGCCGATAGAAGGAGAAAGTGAATTCCTATAATGTCACAGGAGGTGAATGTTGTCTCACAGTAGGACAGCAAATACAATATTTTGAGTGAATCATCAGGAACCTCCACATAAAGGCACCTAAGAGCAGGGGCGTTTTAGCCGCGAGGCAAACAAGGCATTTGCCTTGGGCGGCATTTTTCAGGGGGCGGCAAAAAACGCCGCCCCCCAAATGCCCAGGCAAATGCTTTGTTAGCCTCGCGGCTAACTGACCGGCTGGGCTGGCGGGCGGCGCTAGGCAGGCAGCTGGCGAGGGAGCTCTTCCCCTGAGCGGTCCGCTCAGCTCCCTCGCGCGCCGCAGAGTGAGGCTGGGAATCGGAAGATGACGTCATCTTCCGGCTCCCAGCCTCACTTTGCGGCGCGCGAGGGAGCTGAGCAGACCGCTCAGGGGAAGAGCTCCCTCGCCAGCCGCCTGCCTAGCCCAGCCGGCATCCACTGGACCACCAGGGAGGTAATGAACCCCTCCCTCCCAGCACTCCCAAAGGTAAGGGGGGGGGGGCTAAATAAAAAAAATAAAAAAATGTGTTAATGTGAGTGAGTGAGTGTGTGTCTGTTAATGTGTCTGTGTTTTGTTAGTGTGTGTGTGTCTGACTGTGTCTGTTAGTGTGTATGTGTGTGTGTCTGACTGTGTGTCAGTGAGTGTGTGTTTGTCAGTGAGTGTGTGTTTGCCTGTGAGTGTGTGTGTGTCTGTTAATGTGTGTGTGTTTGTTAGTGTGTGTGTGTGTGTCTGCTAGTGAGTGAGTGTGTCTGTTAGTGTGTGTGTCTGACTATGTTTGTCTGTTAGTGTGTCAGTGAGTGTGTGTGTGTGTCTGACTGTGTGAGTGTGTTTGCCTGTGAGTGTATGTGTTAGTGAGTGTGTGTCTGTTAGTAAGTGTGAGTGTGTCTGTTAGTGTGTGTGTGTTTCTGTTAGCGAGTGTATGCGTATCTGTCAGTGAATGTGTGTGTGTGTATTTAGAAGGCGGGGGGGGGGAGAGGGGGGGGCGCCTGCGTTTTGTCCTGCCTAGGGCAGCACAAAACCAGGATACACCACTGCCTAAGAGACCTTAAAAGGACACTATAGTCACCAGAACAACTCCAGCTTATTGAATTTGTTCTGGTGAGTAGAATCATTACCTTCAGGCTTTTTGCTGTAAACACTGTCTTTTCAGAGAAAATGCAGTCTTTACATTACAGCCTAGTGATAACTTCACTGGCCACTCCTCAGATGGCTGCTAGAGCTGCTTCCTATCTCAGTCTTGCCTAGCATGCATCACAACATTTCAGTATCTCCTCCCTCCTCATGCAGACACTGAACTTTCCTCATAGAGATACATTGATTCAATTCATCTCTATGAGGAGATGCTGATTGGCCATGGCTGTGTTTGAATCATGCTGGCTCTGCCCCTGATTTGCCTCCTTGACTGTCTCAGCCAATCCTATGGGGATGCATTGTGATTGGCTCAGAACAACACTTCTGATGATGTCATCAGACTGTTTGTTTTTCTGAGTCTAACAGCATGCAGAGTTACAGCTTCAGGCTTGAATACAGTAAGATTTTTAATATATTTATGGAGGCATGAAGGGCCCAGGGGGGCTAGATGGTGATTTTAACACTATAGGGTCAGGAATACATGTTTGTGTTCCTGACCCTATTGTAATCCTTTAAGTAATTTAACTTCGCCATTCCAGATATTGTGGACTACATCTCCCACAAAGCATCGGGGGGAGATGTAGGTTGCCTAACCTTGTTCAAGACTAATGATATTCTATCCTTTTTTTGTAGTGCCAAGAATATCCTGTATTACACTCATGTAGCAACTGTGCTAAGGAGGAGATTATAATGCGTAGGAGGTCAAAGGGTAGACTCAAGTACAAGCACTAAAGCTAGCAAAATATAGTAACATAAAATAATGGGAGTTGCAGTTCTAAAACACAAATTTGAAGGAATTTACCTCTTCTGTGTTACTATTCCCTCCTGAATATATGCTGGGAATCTGACTGTTCCAAGCAGGTATCCCATATATCAGAACTGACTGGCAGTGCTCTCTACTATATATTTGGCACCTCAATAAAAGACGGTGCTAAGGGGGTTTTAGAGCAAAGCACGTGTCCTTGGAATGCATACCTGCATTGCTAGCTTCATTCAAGCCACAGGTTATTCTGTTACCATGGAAACCGGGAAATGGCTCCTGCTCGCAAATCAAATTGCAAAAATGATGCCAATATAGCCAAATTGGAGAAATGCTCCCATTTTTTATCTTCAAGTTCCTCATGCTTCCTTTCCAAGCTCTGATATTTTAGGTGAGCCAAAAAGTACTCAGTTTAGCTCAGCGTACAAAGCGTTCACAATTAAATGACATCAGCCATTATTATTATTATTTTATTATTTATATATCGCCAGCAAATTCTGTAGCGCTGTACTATGGGTCATCATGGTCAGACACCTGCTCATTTTGTGTTAGTTTTGTTACTGTCACCCGCTTCAGCTTTTCTTCTTGGGCACTTTATCATAGGTAGAGACAGGGCCGTCTTTAACGCGGGGCAAACGGGGAAGCTGCCCCGGGCCCAGTTTCTCTTGGGGGGCCCGAGGCACCTGCCCCGTGGGCCCCGCTGACCCCGGCGGGCGGGTGGCCGGTCGGGCAGGAAGGCTGGCGCGCGAGGGAGCACTCACTGCTTCCTCTTCAGCTCCCTCGCGCACCGCACTGATGCCGGAGCCGGAAGATGACGTCATCTTCCGGCGCCGGCATCCCTACGCGGCGCGCGAGGGAGCTGAAGAGGAAGCAGTGAGTGCTCCCTCGCGCGCCGGCCTTCCTGCCCGACCGGCCACCCGCCCGCCGGGGTCAGCAACACCACTGGACCCCAGGGAATCCCCCCAGCACTCCAAAAGGTAAGGAGGCTGGGGGGGATTACATTTAAAAAAAAAATGTGTGTATGTGTGTGTTAGTGTATGTGTTAGTGTATGTGTGTGTGTTTGTCTATGTGTGTGCTAGTGTGTGTTTGTATGTGTGTTAGTGTATGTATGTGTGTGTTAGTGTGTGTTAGTGTATGTGTGTTAGTGTGTGTTAGTGTATGTGTGTGTTTATGTGTGTTAGTGTGTGTGTTTGTGTATGTGTGTGTTTATGTGTGTTAGTGTTTGTGTATGTGTGTTTGTGTGTGTTAGTGTGTGTGTTAGTGTATGTGTGTCAGCATGTCTGTGTGTGTGTGTGTCAGCATGTCTGTCTGTCTGTGTGTCAATATATATGTGTGTGTATATCTGTGTGTGTCAGTATGTGTATGTGTCAGTATGTCTGTCAGTGCGTCAGTATGTCTGTTAGTGCATGTGTATGCATGTGTGAGTATATCTGTCTGTGTGCCAGTATGTCTGTGTGTGTGTGTGTGTCAGTATATCAGTCTGTGTGTGTCAGTGTATGTGCCTGTGTGTGTGTGTGTCAGTATTTCTCAGTGTATGTGGGTGTCAGTATATCTGTCAGTGTGTGGGTATCAGTATTTCTGTCAGTGTATGTGTGTCAGTATGTTGATCAGTGTATGTGTCTGTGTGTGTGTGTCAGTATGTCGGTATATGTGTCTGTGTGTCAGTATGTCTGTATATGTGCCTGTGTCAGTATGTCTGTCAGTCGTCTACCAGTGTATGTGTCTGTGTGTGTCTGTCAGTGTATGTGCCTGTTTATCTGTATGTAGTCAGTGTATGTATCTGTGTATCTGCTTGTGCGTCAGAGTGTGTACCTGTGCATCTGAGCCGCAACTTTAAATACAAATACACCCCTCCATTCAAACTTCAACACTACATATAAAACACACTCCTGCATTGAAACGTCAACACTACATACAAGCACACTCCTACATTCAAAAACAAACACTACACATAAATGCACACTTGCATTCAAACTCCAGTACCACATACAAACACATTCACACAAACATACTCCATACAAACACATGCTTACATTCAAACATACTAACATGGCTCAGTGCTAAATACAACCCTGCAAGCATGGGAAATTGGTAGAGTCCCAGCTGTCAAAGCATTGTTGGAGTTGCACGACAGATGGGGTTCTACCTTTAGTCCAACCTTGCAATTGGGGGTCCCAATAAAATTCATTCTACTTTAGTACCGCCACTGCGTTGGGATGGATGCCGTGATTGCATACCAGGGAGTGAGGGGCGAGAGCAGCAGGGCACAGGGGGCCCAAGCAAACACTTGCCCAGGGTCCATTCGTTATTAAAGACGGCCCTGGGTAGAGATATCTAAAATAAAAACATCAGGACTGTTCTGCCAGGCCTGGGACTGCTGGTAGGTATGAGGTATCAGTTTTCATATAGGTCACTCTGGTAAACTCTTTGAATGGCACACAAGCTCACTGTGGTGGTTATGGTGCTAGAATTCCCTGACGCTCCCACATTGTAAGATGTCAAACCATTTTCAAACAGTTTGAATTCATACCTGAAGTACACTGGGCACCATTCAATGCTTCCAATATTGTCTCTGGAGAGTCTAAAGCGCCTCAGCAGGAACTATCAGTAACTCTCCTGAACGAATCCCTGCAATGCAGTGCTTAGCTCATTAACTGAAAGTATCAGCTGTTCGCTCTCAGCCAATGAGGTAACTGAAGTTCATGTAGTGATTATGGTGCCTGGAGTGTCCCTTTAAAAATATATGGTGCTTGGAGAGGACTTAATGTTTTAATTTACATTGTATGCTTGCCTGTCCTGACACAGCATGTAAATTAATCAAAACCTCATGGTGCCATAAATGAGGGTAATGGCCTGGGTAACGCATTGTAACGTACTTTGGAAGAACGGTGGGCATACAGCGTTTCTCAGCATTACCCAGGCACATCCAGGGCACCTTGGGAAATAATTTCACCATGAGAAGTGCTGTAGAGGTAGGTGTACCATTAATATACAGCCATTGATATACAGCGCTGCTGAATATGTTGGCGCTATATAAATAATTGTAATTGTAAATGTCAAAATAGCTGATCTGGTAAAATACCCTGAGCTAACCATGCAGCGCGGTACTGTGCAGCATGGTTATTTACTCTGGTGAGGAAATTAGGAAAGGCTACTTTCAGAGTTACTATAAAAATATATACAAGAACAAGCTACACCTTTAAGCAGTGGACTACAACTCCCATGATGCTCTTTCAGCATCCAGGGCAGCCTAAGCTTGGCAACAGTGTAGCTAAAATAGGAATGAAAAGAGACTATGCCATATTTCTTGTGAATGGCTACTAAGAGTCATGTGATCACATCTACACATGATTTCTGGGAGATGTAGTTCTGTTTAGTATCTAAGCTGGGATAGCAAAGCAATGCAGAACTACAATTCCCAGAAAGCCTTTAGTCACTGTTTAATGCCTTCCTTTAGTTACACCTTCCTCAACCTCAGTTCCTTCCCCACCCACCCTGGCTGTTCAGAGGTGAGAGAAAGAAATGGGTTTTATATGTGTGTTTTAATGCTCTTCTGGTAATGGAAATATAACCCTATTTATGTGAGAGCTGTATATTACTGTATAATGCCAGGGACAGTCTCATTGAATTGGGTTGTGCAGTGACACAGTAGATACAGGTAGGTATCCTAAATAAAGAAACACTACATTCACATTATGTATAATAATTGGCTTGATTGCATGTCATTAAAACCAAAACATACCTTTTTTTTTTTTTTTTCTCTTTTCAAACAGAAAAGTAATTTTCTTCTTGGCTATTAACTTCTAGTTGTTAACTTGTGCAAGTAGCTTCGCTCATGTTTTTCATGAATGAAACTACTCGGGGCTAGGTTTGCGATGTACCCTACAACTCTCAATCGAAAGCAAAGTTCGTTTGGGTTTCTGCAGGATTTCATGGAATATTTACATCTCTTCTAGTTTATACATTTAAAGAATTAATGTATTTAATGAATTAATTTAATTTGATTTACTCAGTCGGTTTAATACAAGCCATTTGGTTGATGTATCTTAATTCTGAGCTTTTAATGGTTAAACTAAACATGACCAGGTTTTCAGCCTTGTTCAATTATCAATAGAAATCTCGGCGTCTGGGGACTTTGCCAAATTCGCAAAGACCGGAGATGGGGCAGATAAAGGTAAGATTTACTTACCTGAACTTGTCCCTCGCTGGCACGGCCATCTTGTTCTGGCAGGTCCTTTTCAGCAGAGCCAGGAGCCAACGTCACTGCTGTACTCTCGCATGCGCAAGAGTGTAGCATTGAGGTCTATGGAGGATTCCGTGAGACTGTGGGATCCTCCATAGATAGAGTCGATTCCTTGCAGCCGTCCTGGTGACGGCTGTCTGGATTGACACTGCAGCTCTGTCTTAAGAAAGTAAATCGGTGGAAATATATTTAGACTAAGTAGTCCCTACTTTGTCTCGGTCAGTATACCTCTTGACTGGATTGGAATTTCAGTCCGATTCCAACACAGTCAAAATGTGTATTTATAAAGAGTATCTTGACAGTGCCGCATAAATGTAAAATGTGGGAGAACCAATATTGACTATATAGAGAGAGAGAGATTTGCAGAGATGACTGTAGAATGAGAGAGGTTTTGTCCAATCAAAGGAACATTCAGTGGTTTATTCAATAAACAATGAATGGCAGAGGGACAAAAACAGAAATGTAAAATCTAGTCTGAAATAGTTAAACTGTGACTATAGCTGAGCTGGAGAGTTTGCCTAAATCAAACCCCCCCAACCCCCTACATGTTACCAAACAATCACCCATGATGATATCCCACAAAGCGTATAAACAATATACAGTATATCTGTTGTAAACAGCTGTTGGAAGTTAGAGTAGACCGATTCAGCGCTGGCAAAGAAACAGATTTCAAGACAAACAAGGTTATTTACTGAAGTGAATTCAAAGTGAGTTTCAAATTTAGATTGGAAGCTTGTTTGGACAGCTTTGGCGCTCGTCTTCACCTACTTTCCCTTATGTCATGTGTTTTGTTAGACTCAAATGTTTTTCTTGTTTGCCTGTTGAACAGCGCTGTGGAGTGTGTTGGTGCTATGTAATAAATGTAATTGTAAATTTAAGGTTTTGAGTTGATTAAGGTTTTATAGTATAAGCCCTTAGCAGCAGTTCCATTCATTGAGCTAAGTGACTTAACTCCTGAATAAGCTGATAGGGGTCGTCCAACAGCTACTATCAGCTTATTGACCTGACCATGTAACCGTGCATGTGTGCAGCTGCAACTCAGACTGACTTACAAAGCCGAAAAGAGCGAGTAGATACATTGCCTATGTATTAGGAGTGGCGGAGTAAGACGTATAGATTCATCCAGTACACTCGGGGACAAAAGCATTGAGCATATAGCTATACCATATTTATGTAACTGTGTGTAAGGAGACTGGAATAGGGAACCACCATGCACCACAACCCATGCAATTAGTAAAAGTTGTTCTGGTGCTTAGAATGTCCCTTTATCAATATATTATAAAGAAATAAAACCATATTGTACTAGCGTTTGGAAGACACTCTTTTCATCATTGTTTCAGCATGAACTTCAAGAAAGGATCGGAAACTAGGAGGTAAGGGTTATAAAACTACAGAGATAAAAAATAGAGAAGCAACTCTATAAAATGTCTAGATTAATTACATAGAAAGTATAGCAGGCATCCTGTTGCAGAGAGTGTACAGAAATGAATGTGTACAGGCTTGGCCTGCACAGGCATCTTAAAAGTCACTTGCCGGGCAGACCATTAAAGGACCACTCTAGGCACCCAGACCACTTCAGCTTAATGAAGTGGTCTGGGTGCCAGGTCCTTCTAGGGTTAACCCATTTTTTTATAAACATAGCAGTTTCAGAGAAACTGCTATGTTTATCAATGGGTTAAGCCTTCCCCTAATCCTCTAGTGGCTGTCTCATTGACAGCCACTAGAGGCGCTTGCGTGCTTCTCACTGTGATTTTCACAGTGAGAGCACGCAAGCGTCCATAGGAAAGCATTGTAAATGCTTTCCTATGCGACGGGCTGAATGCGCGCGCAGCTCTTGCCGCGCGTGCGCATTCAACCCAGGAGGAGGAACGGAGGAGGAGAGAAGGAGGAGAGCTCTCCGCCCAGCGCTGGAAAAAGGTAAGTTTTTAACCCTTTCCCCCTTCCAGAGCCGGGCGGGAGGGGGTCCCTGAGGGTGGGGGCACCCTCAGGGCACTATAGTGCCAGGAAAACGAGTATGTTTTCCTGGCACTATAGTGGTCCTTTAAAGATCATGAATCATGGGTATATTGTCTAATGTAGTTCTTAAAAAGCATAAAACATTATCTATAAAATCAAAAATCCTAGAAAATTCATCAATATTTAGGTATTTATATTTAAAAATAGGTCCCTCAATCCCCTGTCCACCAGTCCTGCTCTCTGTTACAGATATTCTCCCAGCAAATGCTTGCTAGAGGGATATCAGAACTGAGTAACTCTTGTGCACCATTTTATTACTAGGAGCAATTCATATGTTGGGCTAAAACTGGCAGTACAGATAATGTTAAGGGTTTACTCACTAAACAATGCATAATACAAATTCAGGCTAAAGTAGCCAAGCTGCGACATTAGCTGAATAGGAGAATTTTTCCAAATCAGTTGTTTTGTCCTAAATTTTGCAATGGATGTTGTGGACTACATCCGCCATAATGCTCTTACAGCCATAATATTGGCAAAGCATCAGGGGAGTTGTAGTCCATAACATCTGGAGTGCCGAAGGTTGCCTACCACTTTAGTGGAATATCACCGATATTGACATGCATGTTTATTCAAGACAAATGATTTAAATTGTCTTACGTTAAAGTGCATTAAATTTCATATATCCATTGTGCTAGTTGAAATACTGGCAAATGTCTACATTTTAAATGCACGTTTAAGTTTTGACCAATCCCCCACCTGTCAATCAATCCTTGGCACACCTACAGATGTCAAATGCTGAAAGTTGAATGACAGGGAGAGCAAGAGAACCCTTTCAAAGCTGTCCCTGTATTACTATTACTGTGACACCAATGTTTTGACAGTGAAGCCAGCATGTTGACACCATCAGAGAGGATTGCCCTGTTTAGGGATACTTCCAGCAGAGAGGGAGCAGTAGCAGAGAGTGGGTGTTACAGTATTGTAACAGACACTCTGGGAAGGAGGTGCTGCTAGAGCGCGGGGCAGTAGTTGAGTACAAATAAAATCTATAATTTATTACTATGATAAATTAATTATTTAATGACTTGGGAGCTGTTATAGGGCAAAGTGAAGCTGTCATGACACGTTTGCATTAAATACATTGTATACAGTTACACTGCTTTTTGTTGTGCCTTCACCTTGACATAAGCAACACTTTCCCCCCATTTTACAGTCACCTCCACCACGAAATTCCATTCATGAAAATCTTGAATAACCGAACATGAACAAGGAGGAGACGCAGGGATCTGCAAAAATGTTAAAACGTAATTTGAAAAATAAATACTTGCTAAGTGAACAGGTAAGAGAGAAATACACTTTGACAATAATCTGTTCTCCCACCCCCATTACACCTTAATAGCTGGCACTTACCTCTTTCACTGTAGGTAATTACAAAGAAAAATCCCAATTAAAAACAGATGATTTTCAAACTGGCAAACCCTAAACCCTAATTTATTACAGATATTGCTTATCCGGATTCACTGGCCAATGGCAGAATATCTGGCTGTCTTATAGCATAACTGAGTTTTTGAGTGGTTTGACAAAGACTTGGGTTCCCCAATACCCAAATCTGGAGCTTACTGAAGCTACCAATATAAGGAGTAATTTCACTTTGTTAAGTTTCTGTACAAATGTGAATACCTGTCACAAGCAGCTGCTGGGTGTAACTGAGCCCTGCTCACAGTCATTTTTGTTGTCCAAATTTGGATGGATTTATTACAAAATATATTTTGCACCTGATGACTATTTGCAGCAAGCTGTGGCGGTTTTGGTGATTAGAGTGTTCCTTTAAACCTGCTAAACTTTTACAGCTTCATGCATGGGGGTTTATAGCTATTTAAAGAGGGGTGACAGCGATTGCATGTCTCTGTATTATGTTGTATTCTGACAAATTATTGCTGCCTATGAATTCTTCAATAGAAAGACATTGACTCAAAATGTTTTGTTTTAGCCCAAATCTGTGTGTGACGATGAAGCAATGTACATCTATAAGGGCACAGGAAAAGATGTGAAAAATGAAAGAGAGGACGTATGTGAAGATGTAAGAACAAAATATTGGACCCTGAGGTCTATAGGTAATAAACTACTGGTTGTAATATTATATACATAATATATACTCCATTATGTTGTAAAACAAGCCTAATTATGCAGTCAATAAAAGTCTTTGTTTGACTTGTAGGTCACCGCAAGATGAGCATATTTAATTATTCTCAGAAGAGATGCATCAATTTGCGACCTAGGGTTGTTCCGAAGATTAAACATGAAGAAGCATTATATATTCCTGGTCACTTTAAGATTAAAGAGGAGAACATGGATCTGGATGGCACCGAAGGTTGGTATTAATTGTTTATTGAAAGAAAGTTGCTACAGTCCCCATTCTTAGGTCATTTCTCTTTTCAGTTTGGCCTACAATATAAAATTATCTACAGTTTCAGTTTTCCAATGGACTAAAGAGGTAGCCCAATCTACTTGTCCGTCTTGATAAACTGCTTGTCCTGACACACAAAATAATTTCAGATTGGGTACATGCCTAGAGCCATGGCTATTGGAAGGGTATTTACCAAACCTTGAATTATAGCTGAATGGAAAACTGAGACAAAAAAAGCTGATTTGGAAAAATGATCCTGTTCATCTATAGTCACAATCTTTGGGTTTAGTTTTTTTGATTCAGATTTAATTTGTAAAAATTCAGAGTTCAGTAAATAATCCTCTGCCCCCCCATTGTTTCTTGCTCTGTCCCTCCCATACTGTGTGTGTAATGTGTATGTAGACTGTGTGTAATGTGTGTAGTGTGCTCTGGCTGTTTGTAATGTAAGAGTAATGTGTGCCAGATGTGTTTTTGTGCCAGCTGCGTTAATGTGTACGATGTCTCCTGGCTGTGTGTACTGTGTATGTTTGATGTTTGCTGGGTATGTGCAATGCCTGCGATGTGGGTAATGTGTTAGTGTGTGCTGTGTTTTGCCTCTTCCTGTAGTCCAACGGGGTCAAAGTAACTGATGGTCTGGTGTGTGAGCGTTTCGTCTGCATCTCCAGTGGATGCAGACCACAGTACCAGTGCCCAGGGAGTCAAAGCATGCTGGGAATCCTGGCAGTTGCACTCTAAGTCATCAGTGAGCTCCTGAATGTAAATGAGTGATTACTGTAGCCTGCACCTCCACCAGATTCTCAGGTCCTGTCATCCACAGGAGAAGCTCAGCTGCTTGCCTGAGGCAGGGCTAAAAGCCCCCCAAAACTTCATGCCTTGCTCCCCAAACTGCATGTCCCAGGTGTTGGGCGATAGGACTTGTGCATTCCTGAATTTCTGATAAGAAATAAAGACAGGTCTACTGTAATTTCAAGAGGTATATATTTATTTTTCTTCTCTCCTACAGATGAGCTGATGAACAGGGATATATCTGAAGTAGATGAAACTTCCCTTGCTTTGTCAGACTGTAAGACGGAAAGTTTTGTTAACCAAGATGCACAAGAAGAAAGCTATCCCAGAAGAAGTAAAACAAGAAATATTTCTGAAGAGTATTTCTTACAAAACTCAGATATTATTCAAAAAGTAATTGTTGGACCAAAAGGGAAATCTTATCCTTGTCCTGAGTGTGGAAAATGTTTCAACTGTAATTCCAGCCTTATTGTCCATCAGAGAACGCACACGGGGGAGAAACCATATGTCTGTGTGGATTGTGGCAGACGTTTCGGCCAGAGCTCAAATCTTATAAGACATCAAAATATCCACTCAAGAGATAAACCATTTCTGTGTACTGAATGTGGGGAATGTTTCAGCCTAATCTCAAGTTTAGTTACCCATCGAAGGATTCACACTGGAGAGAAACCATTTGCTTGTTCCGAATGTGGAAAACGATTCGGCTGCAAATCTCACCTTATTATACACGAAAGAACTCATACAGGAGAAAAACCCTTTGTATGTTCTGAGTGCGGAAAATGTTTCACCCACACATCAAATCTCAATAAACACCAGATTATTCATACGGGGGAGAAGCCTTATCTGTGTTCACAGTGTGGAGAATGCTTTGGCTGTAACTCCAGCTTGGTTCGACATGAGAAAATTCACACGGGGGAAAAACCATTTGTCTGTTCAGAATGTGGAAAACGTTTTGGCCGACGTTCGCATCTTGTCAGACATCAGAAGATTCACACTTGAAGGAACTGTTGCTTTGTTTACAATCAGATACATTTTTGCATTAATTCCAAAAATGGGTTCAAGAGTTGGATAGACTGTATCAATGGTTCTTAAGCAACTAACAGTCCTGGATCTACTTTGGAACATAAAACTCAATGTGTGCGGAAAGAAACTGTAAAATTACATGGCCCTGAATTTAGTACAAAATAATCCATGTTTAATCAATATCACAACAATCATCCAAGACTGGCTTGAGATCTGTTGTACTATAGACTTATTTTCCTCGTGCTCTGAGAATGGAATTTACATGTAAAATTGCCACCTGCGATAAAACGCAACAGTGCAGTACAATCCAGTTAAATCTTACGACCCTCTGCTAACCATTCCTTCACTGAAATTTTCACTTTATATTCAGCGCTACACTCATGAGAAACTAGGGATTTGGGGGATATATAGTATCTACCTAAATCCAAAGTTCTCTCTCTTTTTTTTGGTGTTTAGCTCTGCTAACCATTGTCTTTGGTTTATTCAATGACTTGTTTGCTTTTCACATTACCCTCTTGATTGTGCCTATTCTTAATTTGTAAGATGATGTTATTGTATTTATGGCCCAGTTAGATTTAGCTGGAGGGTATAACAGCTTGATTGTCACACAGTAACATCATGATCTGTGTAAGGTTCCAATGAGTTGGAAAGGTAACCACAGCAAGCTGATTTCAGACTGAAGATGCATATTAAACATGCATGGTGTTAAATTTCCTTATCATTTTGTTTACTTCCTGCAAGTTTGTCTCTTGGGTTTGAGGCATCATGTTCGCTGGACATTGTCAAAGATAATGCAGTTTTTTTCATTATTCTTACAAAGAATCAAGAAAAAGTGTCTAAATCCCTTCTGGGATGACCACTGGCTTTAGAAATTGCAATAATGCTTAGGTCACTCTCTTGAGTTCAGATTATCACATAATCCGCAGTTGAAGCATGAATCAACAAAGATTAATAATTGCTAGCAGAGAAAGACTGATAGAGGTAAGGCCAATGGAAGGGAAGGAGTTGTTTAGGCTGAAAATGGGGTCAGGAATGGGATTGAACTAAGGAAGATCCCAAAATGTCTTTGAATAGGTCGGTCAAAAATATCCAAAAACCAAGCAGTATGTCTAGGAATCATGGTCGTTCCCATTGCAATTCTATCCTCCCTATTGGGTGAGAATGCAATTAAAAACAAGTGACTCCATCTATGCTTTGAGATAGATCTCTTTGCTTATGTTTGGTGACTATCCTTGTAAAAATATGTTTTAAATTAGTTAATATAGGTCCATTGCACTAGGAAGGCTGAATACACTCACTGAGGCTTCTCTCATCTTTCCTGAGTCTCCTCCTGAGAAACAGTGGTCATCAACTAACCCAGGAAAAGCACATACAATGCAGGAAACAATGCACGTGAAGCATGAAGACACTAACACCCAAATAAAAAGGGCTTCATGGACAGTCACTAGCCAGAAGAAAATATTCAATAGAATACAAAATAGCATCACACACACAGAACAGGTGTAAATATATCAATATACCACCTATAACAGATGTAATTAATGTAGTTCCATCTGAAAAAAACAAATTAAACGTACATAGTGCTCTCCATAACATATAAAATATAGAGATTAAGGTATATGTGGAATAAACTCACAAAGATGGAGCCACTTAGGCTCTATGGAAATCACCCTTGGGTGCCTGTCCAGGCTCTCGATATAGTTCGATGAAGAACTCAATGTTCACAAGGATGCAGTGTTAGAGTACAAATTTATTATAGAATATAATTAAAAATATATTAATAATCAGGGACAAAAGTATGGCAGGTACCTAAGGATAATAAGTACACCGCAGACTTGGCCAAAAATAAGAAGCAGTGTAAATACATATGGATATAAACAAATACCGCCAACAAAAAGTCCCAGAGTGAGTACAGTGAATAGCAAACGCGTTTCAGCCCTAGATGGGGCCGTCCTCAGTGCTGTATAACTGGTCTGCGGTGTACTTACATTAATTATATCTGTAATAGGTGGTATATTGATATATTTACACCTGTTCTGTGTGTGTGAATCTATTTTGTATTCTATTGATTATTTGGTTTTCAGGTGTTAAGGGATTGCACCTTTTTCACACTCACGCACTAAATATTTGAAGTGCCTACACAACAACTTGTATATATTTGCCAGAAGAAAATATGTGTTGTATAGATCATGTCCATGCAGTCTCACTGCTCACTTCTCTACCGTTTAGCCACACCTCCCCTGGCTGCGACTGACACAGCTTGCAAGAAAAAAAAAATGGTTTAATTTTCAATCAGATCTTACAGCACAGTATTTTATGTTCCTTTTCTCTATGATTTTTTTTTTTTTTAATTCACCTTAGTTTTTCTATTGTACATAAGAAGATGCTTATTCCCATGGGGGGTGTGATCTTTGGCATTTATTTGAAAAATTTAGAGTATAAGCAAAGTTCCATTTCAGTAGTTAAGCTGATTTACCCACAACCCATCAGTCAATGGAATCCCACAGATGTCAAACTGCAGACATCATGGACAGAGGAAACAAAATGGAGGCGCCCAGGTATTAAGATCCGGCACACGGAAGAGTAAGTAATAAATACGAACGTGGCAATGGTGCAATAATCATAAGGGCTTGTTTTACTATAAGAACAGTGAGGACATGGAATTCGCTGCTTGAAGAGGTGGTTTTATCAGAGTTTGTACATAAGTTTAAACAGCAACTTGCAAAAAAATAAAAATATTCAAGAATATAATTTTTCATTTGTAGGTATGACTGCCATTCCTGGGTCAAGAAGGAATTATTTTCCTAGTTTGGAACTCGGTTTTCTGCCTTCTTTTGAATCAACAGCAAAAACAAATGCAGGGTCGAATTTGATGGACGCTATATAACTAATTAATTCTTCCGCATAAAGTTTATACAGAAGAATTGATTAACGGGTGGGAGAAAACCAATTTTTAAATAGGGTTTTTTCCCATATCTATATATTTGCTCTTTCTTGTAGTCCGGGCCGACCCAAGAAATTGTGCTGCCAGTCCAAATATGAAATGCTGCCCCGCCCCCCAAACCCTTCCCCCCCATTGCTTCTGCAATAGCAGTGTCTCTATGTATGTGTGCTTGGAGTGAAGTGTGTGCCTGTGTGTACTGGGGATGTAGTGTGTGTCTGTGTGTGTACTGGAGATGTAGTATGTATCTGTGTGTGTGCTGGGGATGTAGTGTGTGTATGCTGGGGATGTAGCTTGTATTTGTGTGTGCACTGCAGCCAATACACTTACCTATACACTGTGTCTGTGTATGTGTGTCAGCGTTTGTATCTGTGTATCTATGTGTAAGTGATTGTATCTGTCTATGCATCTGCGTATGTGGCAGTGTTTTGTGTCTGTATATCTGCATGTGTGTCAGTAACTGACACACATGCAGATACTGACACACATACAGATGTACAGACACACTGATACACCTGCAGATGCACAGACACATACTGTGACAGATTCCCTATCCTAGGATTATTGTTTTTATTTGACTGGTCCGGTATGCGAACACCACCGAACAGATTGAACAATTTGGTTCATATACAGAACCATATACCGAATGGATTGACTGCCCGGAACAGTCATGTGCCGCTCATTAACCTGCCTGACCTCTTTTCACACTTTCGAAAACCACAATTACCAACATTTTAAGTGGACGGCTGGGTGGGCGTCGTTTGTATGGACGAACACGATGTGGCGGCCATCTTAACTTCGTGAACGCATACAGCAGTGTTTGGTCGTCCAGTGTATGGAACTAAAATGGGCACTCGATGGCGCGAACACCGTTGGGACTTCCAGCCCCAAGTATGTTCGGTTTAATTCGACTCACTGGAGCAAACTCCAGAGCGAGGGGCACACGACCAACTCGCATACGAACAGATACTTTCGGTATTTTATTATGTTTTTGTACTCCCGAAAGAGACTGACTGCACAGCCTGAATCTATGGAACTCCTTTGGGCAGGTGACTCATGTGCAGTCGATTTAAACTATACCCCGGCGGCGTTTTGGTTACGTTGGTGGGATCTGAGCGCTATTCAGATATGTTGTGTGCTCAGATCCAGGCTATCCGGAACTTGAGGGGGTACCTAATTGTTAAATATCTATTTTGGGGTGTATTTGATCTGTATGTCCTGGACCTGAGAAGTAATGTAATTATGTTGTGTACTTTGTATCAGTCTACTCTCAGGTCCAGTGGGGAATGATACACACACACACACAGATACACACATATACAAACATATACACACACACGAGGAGGCGGAGAGGAGGAGGAGAGCTCCCCGCCCGGTGCTGGAGAAAGGTAAGATCTTAACCCCTTCCTCTCCCCAGAGCCCGGCGGGAGGGGAATCCTGAGAGTATGTTTTCCTGGCACTATAGTGGTCCTTTAAGACAGGCATGACATGCATGAATAAACAGTGGGAAATTAAGCTAAAGAGATATGCATGAGTAAACTGTGAATTAACGATCAAGCTAGGTAGACGTGAGTAGATGACATAAGTGAATATTCAATAACTGTAGGAACTAATAAGATTAAGTAAAACAGTGTGCTCTGTTATTTAATCCAGCAGTCAGTTTAACGACTAGCAGGTATAGCTGGAGTGACCTATGATTCAGGGAACAAGCTAAGATCATGGTGATATCGCAGGTTTACCCCAAGGTAATCATATAAGCACATGTGGTCGTTTGAGTTACAGTTAACGTTTAAGACCACAGGACCCCGGGGAGCACTAGTGCTAATGCAGGGGTAATACACACTTGAATATTGTTTGTCTAGGTATGATATATAAGGGAACACAATAAATATAATTTAAAACTAATAGCTGAAAACATAAAAAGCAATGTGAAGGCATCTGGGTATGCAGCTGCTGCCGCTCCCTCAGCAAGACTCAGGATATAGGTGCAGTCCCACAATCATCCGATTCCTGCTATCTGCATGATTGATGCATGTGCAGGAATGTTCGGGAAGTATACATTAGCGGCTCGGTATATCTGGGCTTTCCTCCAACTCCCAGCTTGTAAGAGGGCTGGCATCCCTTGTTTGCAGGCTTGGACCCTCTCAGGTATCAAGGCTATCTACCCTCTGGGGCAGGCAAGGGGTCCAGCTGGTCTGTGCAGCTTTCTGTGGTTGCTCCTCCGCTTCGGTGGTGGATGCTTGGTGGGGAGGCCTCGAGTAGCTCTTGGCCCAGGTAGGCAGGCATCTTTGTGACAGGGAGCTTGCTTTGCACTGTCTCCTTGAGGAGGCACACTCCGTTCTGTCAGCCTGCTGATGTGCGCTACCTTCCGCCGCTCTGTCACAGAAGCTCAGGTACGCTCCTTTACCTTCTGCCAAAAGCTCTGGAATATTGCATGCAGGCTCTGCAAGGTCAGTTGAGTGACAGTGATGCCTTCGGGGGGCTTGTGGGCCCTGTTTGTTGGACAATAGGGCAGTCGCCATCTTGATTACCCAGTGTTGCTTAATTTCCTTGTGGAGTACAGAGTAGATAAGGTAGTTAGCTCCGCTGGTCCAGAGGGGGGAGGAAGGGGGGGTAGGAGTATAGCTGAGTCAAACCGGGGTCTGAGGAGTAAGAAGATTGGCCATCTCTCCCCAGCTTTTTTTTACTTGGGGCGCCTTGGAAAAATATTAAAATATTAATGGAGCATTGAACCTAAAAAGTTTGGGAACCACTGGGTTAATATCAAACACTGTTGCTAGCTTTGAAGATTTCAAGATTATGACAGCAAAGTAAATTTAAACACGCTGTTACGATCCCTTAATAAGAAAGGTGGCATTGAGCAATTTTCCTAGGAATAGGAGGGTCGTTAATTATGGTATTCAGGTGTCCCAATTCTTGGGAGTGATGGTATAATATTGTGCCTTAATTGGAAGACACAATACTTTAAACAGTAAATTAAAATAATTTACTTTATGACCTTTGGCATAGGCTGTGATACTTGAACCCACACACAATGAAGTTTAGTTTTGGGATGATCTGTTTTGCCAAATTTAATATCTCCAAAGAGTCAATGCCAACGCAAAATCCAGACATGCTGATGCCCAAATATGTTTGGATTCTTTGGGATTAAGGGTTCTGCACATAGCACTAAAAGAGGGGGATGGAATGGAGAGGAACCAGATTTTTGGGAGGGGAGAGTAGGGGGGGGGTGTTTTATCAATTGTAGTGAGAGATAATGAGAAAATGACTATAATGGGGGGGTGAAGGGAACGACTGGATTCTGCAATAAAATTAGCTAAACAAGAAATTGAAACTTTCTTGATCTACACATTGATACCTGTATGCCTCAGTGGATTAAATTATAGATTTAGAATTAATCATTTCGTGTGAAGGTTGATTTTGTGGGGAGTGATGTGAGAAATAATACATTGGTTTTTTTTGTTTGTTTTTTAAATGTTTTGTATTTTACATGTTTTTGCACCTTTATATTTGTAAGAGTTTTAAGGGAGTGAATAGTTGATTATGCTCTTATATTAGCGGACAGGTATTTGTATTTTTAACACCTGTTTGCACATGTATTTAATAACCAGTCTTCTGTTCTTGTGTTGTAATGAATGGAGTCTATTAATTACATGTGTATATGGAGACTATTTTCTAGACTTTGTACTAAGTGGAGTCTACTAAATACAGAGGTGTGTGACATAGAAACATAGAATGTGACGGCAGATAAGAACCATTCGGCCCATCTAGTCTGCCCAATTTTCTAAAAACTTTCATTAGTCCCTAGCCTTATCTTATAGTTAGGATAGCCTTATGCCTATCCCATGCATGCTTAAACTCCTTTACTGTGTTAACCTCTACCACTTCAGCTGGAAGGCTATTCCGTGACTTTAACTTTATCTTGAGAAAGTCCTGCTTATATAGCGAAATGTGTTGGTACTGGACTCCCTATTTCATGAAGAGGTCTGTTTTGTGTCAAATAAATATTGACAACTCCGACACGAGGAAGTAAGGATCAGCAGAGAAGCAGAGGTAACAGCTTGTGTTAGGACATCCTTGGGTTACAAAATGTTATTATAAGGATTGGTTATCCTATGTTGTTTTGCAATTATTCTAACGTTATTACCCTAAATGCACTGAGTTACATCACTGTGGTTCAGATATCTGTGTTACCTTGAATATCATTGTTTGCCTCATGTTCTGGGGCTGTCCACCTTATTGTAAGTGAGTGTAGCTGTCAGTGTGTGTCTGTGAGTGGAAGTGTGTGTCTTTCAGTGAGAATGGGTGTGCCTGTGAGTGTGTGTCAGTCATTTTATCTGTATCTGAGAGTGTGTGCCTGTCAGTGAAAGTGTGTGTTGGTTAAACAGTGTGTGCCAATGATTGTATGTGTGCACCAATGACTGTGTATCTGTCAGTGAGTGTATATCAGAGCATGTATCAATGAGGGCATGTGTCTGTCAGTCAAAAAAGTGGCCTTGACACGAATTGGGGAGGGGCAAATTTAGATTTTGGGGGTGCCCGAATTTAGTTGTGCCTAGGGCAGCACAAATCCAAAATACACCACTGTCCTCAATAACCAACAAATATACTCCAGTCAACCAAAAAGATCTAAGACATGCTCCATGCATCTTCTGTTATCACCTTTTCCCATGCTAGACTGCATGGTCCTCTTGTGTGGAACCAACCCTTTGGAACACACTTCCCAGCATTATTAGACTGTCCCCTAGTCTCTCTTCCTTCAAATGCTCCAGGACAAGACATTGTTCAGGAAAGCCTAACACTCAACTCCATAACTGATACATTCCACTTACCCAATAAATGCCCTCATCTAACTCTATATTAACATCATTCTCATCCTTGCAGTCCCCAACTCCTCTTTCTCCTCTACCCATCCATGTAGTTTGTAAGTTCCCACGGGAATAGGGCCCTTATCTCCTGTATTAGTTTGTCATATTGTGTACTGTCTCTTAGCTATATTGTACTCTGTCTTTTTACTTGTTCCAATTGTAACCATGGGAAGCATGAAAAGTTATGGCGATTTATAAACGAAGTATGATAATAAAAAATAAGTTTTCCAGTATTGCTATATAGTGACTTTTGCGAGGGTTTTAACTTTGAAGTTGGACTAAGTGGACCTTGTTGCCATCTAGCGGTGAAAACAAATACATTAACTGTTGTAGTTACATTGTTGCCGTTGCATTTATACTTTCTTATTATGTGGATGAAGGGAAGGTTTAGGTCTATATGTGTATAATTTTAACCTCCTCAAGATATTTTCTTTGTATTGATATTTTTCTAAGCATTTGATAATTCTATTATTTGAAATATTAATTTACATGTATTTATTAAGAGAATACGTTAACATTCAGTGTAATGTTAAATTATTTTTAAAAATAGTTAAAAGTACAATATAAAACTAGAAAAGCTACAATTTCTGGGGAAATTGTGTGAAGTGTTCTTGCCTCCACCAGTAGTCTACAACTGGAGTGGGCGGAGTAACTGGGTGGGGTGGCTTGAGTAACTGTTGTGTGGATGGAGTGGCTGGAGTAACTGTGGAAAGGTTGGACTGGGCAGAGTAACTTTATGAAACATTGATTAGCTGTATTGTTGTAACATTGTATGTTACTGGTTTTCTGTTACAGGTATAACGAATTGACTAACATGGAAATATATTTATTAAATGTGATAGTGCTCGGGGCGGAGATAGCTCCAGACCAGCACAGACGCATTGTGCAACGCTCCGTGCCAAAACAAGCAAACATCCGACTTAACGGCGGAAATCAGGTGTCTTCCTTTCCCAAACCCGACCCACAGGGCGCGGCAAAGAGTATGGGCAAGAAAAATAAAAATCCGCGACCGGACAAATGCCGCTCAGCCACGATATCGGCGAACTCCTGCGGAACTCACAGAAGGCAGCATGGGAGAAAATGGCGCTGGGAGACGTCAGGTACTCCGACTCATCAGGAGATTTTTACCCAGACCCAGAAGCAGGCGCATCGCTACCACAGGGCACAAAATCAAAACCTCCAAGGCAGGAGAACCGGTCACAGCAGCCCTGCTGACAAAAATGTTTATGGAGCTCAGACAAGACCTGGCGGCCGACAAAGCTCACTTAAAAGAGGCCATGGAGGGGGCCACCACGAGACTCACCCACCTGGAAACCAAAGCTACCTCCCAAGACAAACGTCTAACCACCCTGGAACAAAGAATGTCCGACCTAAGTTGACGCAAATCACTGCAACTAAGCCTACATCTGAGATCCAACAACATTCAGTATCGCTGGGGAACACCAAGGCTCATCACCTTCACATTCCAAGGGACTATCTTCCGGGCGACCAGAGCCCACGACCACCTTGTCCAGGCTGGACCCCACCGTGACAAAAGAATTTATACCCAGGTCATCTCTACGCACTACGCAAGCGGGTGACACAACTTGAACGCCACCAAAAGACCATTTCTCCATCCTTTAGGATGCCATAGACCCACCACTAAAACCCGTGACTATATTCACCAAGTTATTTTGTTTTAATGTTGCTCTTTCTCCTTTATGCTTAAAAGGTATTTCTCCGACGTGCTGTCCCCAAGATCGTAACCCTTAACTTGCGCACCCAGGCATGCCAGAGGGGACTGATGCTCCATAGTATTAACAACTCATTGATTATCACGCAGCCATAGTGAATGTGCCCACATATAAAGAGACCCCAGATCAGAGAGATTTGTTGAGGCACGAGCTCCGATACCCCCCTACCCCCTCCTCTTACTCCTTATGCCAGAACATGAGATAACTCAATGTGATAAATCCCCGGAGGTGGTTCCTCTTCCCCTGGCGCACTTAAGCATTCAACACTCATGATGCCCTTATTTTACCTTTACCTTACTTTTGTGCTTAAGGGATTGTCAATTTAATGTACTATAATGTTGTCCTACTTGTTTTTAAAAAAAACAGTGACCCAGCTACTAGTTATACATGTATTGTTAAATGTGACCTCTTAGGGCGACAGCCCACATATTGTAACGTATTGCCTTATTAACATGCTGAGTGTTCAAAAATAAAGAATTAAAAAAAAAATGTGATAGTGCTCACTTTTGTGTTATCATAACTGTAGGAATGACAGCAGTTTAGAAAATGTGTTTCATCTAGCAGCCTCTGTGTTCCGGAACACACTGCTGGCTGCTCACACACCTGGGTTGCTATGGCAACTCACTCTACAGCAATGGCAGAGAAGAGCGGTTAAAAACAAACTGCTCCAAATTGCTCACTTCACTGGCGGCTGCCATTTTCAAACGGTCATAGTTTAAAAACTGTAAATCGTACAGCGAAGAACTTTATATTGTGAGAATCACAAGACCCAGACCTACATTTTGATGCATAGTATGTCTCTGAAATATTAAAAATTAAGGCACAGTTGCAGTTTAGAAATTGCCCTTCAAATTTGAGGTGGCTAGAGTGGAGTTTCAATGAATGTCAATGGACGGCGTGAGTTGCAAACAAATGATCATATTGTGAAAACTATCAGGACTACGGCTTAGCTGTGGACATTTTTAGTGGCAGCAGGGATAGCTGAATGTTTTGTAGGTGGGCTTGAAAATGAGGGAGTGGTGGCAGTTTAGAAATCATGTCCTGATTTTTTTAGCTCCCACTATAGTTTTGAACATTCCGCCATTCATTCCTATAGGACCAATTTTGCCACAAAAATGACGATATTTCGTGAACCATTCGGCGAAATGTTCCACAAAGTAATAGCACACCGATCGGGAACAATCCGCACGTTTTGGTATATTACTGTCTATGTAGTGTAAAAACTGTGGGAGGAGCTAGGGTGGTAAATTTAGCTATAATAATAAGAATAATATATATGTGAGATAATAGTAAGTGGTCTTGCCATGCAAGAACACTTTATTACAAACTTCACGTATGGCATTTTCAAACTGCTGGTAATTGACGCAGTGGGAACACACATATTAATCCTAAATATTGCTTGTTTAACGTTAGCAAACGTAGTAACAAAAAGCTACCATAGTAACCTATGAACAAACTAGTGTGTGACAGGAGTGTATATGGAAAAAAAACAAACCCCTATTTTTAATATTACAATATTTATTTTAATGCTATACTGGCATTATACTGATCATGTTAATCACCTACCAGCTTATCCGAACATATATACCATGTTTGGGATAATGCCACCAAAAATGTAAGTATTCAGTCTTTATATAAAGACAGGGACAGGTCCATGCCAGCTCTCCAGGTATAGTGGACATTTTTAAAATTTAAAAAGAATATGAATAATTTGTGTGTGTCTGTATGTATATGTGTGCATTTATATATGCAAACGAGTATAGTTTTTTTTTAAGGGAAGGGGGAGAGAGGGTTGAACTTGGGTGAGTTCCCACACTTTATTCCCCACGACTTGACCCCTGCAAGGATTGATCTATGTTTGATGATGTTCATCTTCATGCCTGTGTGCACGTGCAGAAAGTCCACCAACACTGTCGTTATCGAGGGTTTATTTTTACCTTTAGATTACTATCTCCCATCATCTCCTAAAAAGAGGTTACTCACCTCTAATCCAGTGGAGAGAGGAATCATTTGCTGCTCTGCAAGATCACCAATAGTGATGATCTTCCAGGCAATCTAATGGCTTGCAGCGGGAAGCAGGGGCATCAATAGCCACAATCTACTAGAAATATTACTCACTGAGAAACAATGAAACCAATGATAATTTAATTTGCTAGCACAATGTATAGACACAATTAGCAGGACTACAAAATCAGACCTCTGTCATGTCAAAATATCTTTTTATTATTTTTTTTTTTAAACTTTGAGTTGATAAAAATTAGTTGTTTAACATGGGTTTAAGCCCACCACCCTCAGGAAAAAAGAAAGTAAATGACCGTCAAGCAGGGATTCTTGATTGACTGTATCCATTGGCTACATTAAAATTACATTAATAATTAATTTGAAACACTGGCTTAGGATGTGGGGAGCCTTGCAAGCAGTAATAAATGCTTAAGGCCTGGGGCTTAAGTATAGTCATGATCCGTTTCTGCTTAACTAGAACAAAATAAAGGTAACTATAAATAACATTTTCACATAAATAGATGAAGTGCTCCTAAAATACTCTAGGATATTGTACAGGATGGTCTATAGTGCACTTTGGACAATCCAGCCCTGTGTATTACTTTTCTTCAGCTTCAAAACCACATAGGTCAACACCACAACCTTTGCTTAAGACTGGAAGGAGACTTTGGGTAGAGATTGTGCAGATAAAACTCAACACCATTGTCTGGGCTGGACACAGTCTAACAGTGCAAATTTTTATTCCCATTGTATGTTACACGTGTCAGAATAAATAGTTATGCTTTCTCGCTTAGAACAAACTTGCTTTTTCAGTTCTGTGAGCTCTCTTATGAAGATCAAGATAGCCCTTTTTAGCAAATCTTTTTCCACACACAGAGCAAACATATGGCTTTTCTCCTAAATGGATTTTATGATGAATAATCATGTGTGACCTCTGTGTAAAACATTTCCCACATTCAGGACATGAATATGGCTTCTCTCCAGTATGAGTTGTTTGGTGGCTGATCACATTTGACCGTCTAGTGAAACATTTTCCACATACCCGACACATATATGGCTTCTCTCGGGTATGAATTCGGAAATGTCTGTCCAGATTTGTCCGTTTAGCGAAGGACTTCTCACACACATTGCAAACATATGGCTTCTCACCTGTGTGTGTTCTGTAGTGTATCACCACGTGAGACCTACTGGTGAAGCACTTTCCACACTCAGGGCATTCATATGGTTTATCCCCCGTGTGAATTCGTTGGTGTATTATCAACTGCTCCCTTTTACTGAATGGTTTTCCACACACATGGCAGATATATGACAGTACAGGCTCAGTATATTCACTGAGATTTGAGGCTGTAGGCAGTTGTGCCTCGCAATTGTTTTCCTCAGGATATATTTTCAGTCTGGAAAGATTATTCGTGGAATGAAAAGAGTCTCCACATTTATCAAACCGATGAGGATTCTGACCTGTGTACAGTGGGTTACGATCTTGACGAGTGGGCTTTTTTTTGGAAATTTGAATATTACCAGAGCTGTCTCTGGTAAACCTCTCATTCAGCAAGTGCATATTTTTTTGACATTGGTTTAACGATAATAGATTTCCACTTTTATATGAACCTGACTCATTCGGCGAGTATTCTTGAAGGGCGTCTTGATAAGTACAAGATGTACTGGTGTTGCCACTCTCTGCCTGATCCCATGAACAGGACACTGACCAGGATGTCCCTTGAAATGCATCACATGCATTTGACTCATCTTCTATTGCCTCAGCTAATGAAGGACCCACTATGTGAGGTTCTTCTTTAAACCCATGAGGAGCACCAGTGCCACTTTCCATTGTCCACTCTGATGAGCAGGGCATTGTCCAGGATTCCTCGTGAAACCCTTTTAAACTCTCAGTATGGTCTCCCATTGCCTGAGTCAAAGAACAGGACTGTACATGCGATTCTTCCTTCGGTGGATGAGACACACCGCTATTATCTTCTACGGTCCTAACCCATGAATTAGAAAGCTGATGTGTTACATGTGTAACACCTTCCTCTGTCAGATCTGAGGCACAGTCTGCTACCTGGGACTCTCTTTGCACATCAATGCTCAGAGATCGACCTGTGAGGATGACAAATGTTTAAAGAAAAAGCATCATTCGTTTTTGAGTATATCACAAATATTATCAAGAATCAAATACAAATATCTATTATATTCCCTTCCCTTCTCTGTTAGAATTTCACCAGTCTCCACTCCTTCAAAAAATCTTTGAAAACACTCTTCTTCAGGAAAGTATATCATTTAACCCCTTAAGGACCAAACGTCTGGAATAAAAGGGAATCATGACATGTCACACATGTCATGTGTCCTTAAGGGGTTAAACTGTTAGCGGGTTTTTATTCCCACCCCCCACCATATTTATTATTGTACCCATTTTATTTTTGCATTATTTTATTGTAATATCAATATAATGCTTTAACAATGGGGTCCATTTTAAGTATTAGATTTCATTATTGGTTAAAATCGCTCTAAAATAACTGGTAAATAAAGTATATAATCCAAAAGAGAATTTAGAAACCAACCGGTTGACTGTCTATTCTTCCTTCATGATGTGGATCTATGGGTAGAATTACTATATACATTGTACACTATTGGATCAAGGACCGGTTAGCAGCTTGCGATAATATTGATAAACTGATTATTAAGGGATTTCCCACCTGTGCCAATGTCTCTGTTTGTTTCCTTCTGCTCGGTTTCCAGGTGACTCTTCATATTCGGAGCCTTAGGGTTTTCACTGGAGTACACATAGTCACCATTATATTCACCTGTGAAAATGAACAATTGTGGATTCTTATCTGAATGATGCAGTACTGACGTTACATGTTAGAGTGGAAGGAAGGTTATAACCCCCCACTAAATTTTTCAGGCCACAAAACACTAACCAATTTATTTCTTAAAGGGTTACTCCAATCAGCATGAGCACTTCAGTGATTTGAAGTAGTAATGGTGGTAGGAGTGTGTATGTGCAGTGTTTCAGCACACGTGACATTGGCTGCCCAATGTCAATTCTGTGCACAAATTATGTCTGTGGTCAGCACACACTGAAAGCTGCCGACAGATGTGAAAATCCTCCATTGCTGGGAAGTTAGCTCTCCCCTACAGCCCACTCTGCATTCCTTCCTACCCAGCTCGACTAGAGACCCCCGCTAAACTTTGCTCAGTGAGCTCTGTTGTACACGCGAGACATTGCTGAACACAAATATGTGTATTTTATCGTAGTAAAAGCTAACAGTATTATGACATTTACAGTTAAAATGTCATGCAGAGCCTGAAAAATAACATTTCTTAATTTCTCTAAATTTTACTCATATTAAATTGTTTGATATATGAATATTTGATGTGAAATGAAAGTCCAGTTTATCCTGAACAAAATTCTATATAATAACTGAGGGTTTACTTAATATGAAAGAGGTGGATTTTGGTTGAACAGATTTATAGCACATATTCCAGGTTTTGTTATGATGAGAACTTGCACAATAGCCTCTGTCTTTAAAGGGTTAAAAGTAGTCTCTTTTAAGTAGGAATTCTAAAGAAGGAGTTCCCCTGCAGATCTACGAAACTGTGGACACAGGTTTTTCCTCAGTAAATTTGCTTTAACTTCAGAAAGGTAAAAAGCAGTGTTTTTCCCCTGTTTGTTGCTGCTCAGTTAATTGAGGGAGTGGTGCCTTAATTTCCATCTGTGTGGGTTTTTGTTTAGCTGCTTAAACCCACAGCTGACTCACTGAGCTGGCTCACTTGGACTTGCTTTAAATTAGTCTCTTATAAGTAGGAGCTGAAAAACAGGAGTTCAAACCAACAAGGGAATTATTGTTTTACTCTTCTGTGTGCTTGTTGTTTTCGCTATCTGGAGAAATGAGTGTTAGCAAGGTGGAAGGTTTGACTCAGTGCACATCTTGCTACAGGTATGCATGCCTGGATGAATCCGTCCACGGTCCATACCTCTGTGGCATGTGCGAGCGAGTGGGTTCTCTGGGAGATCATATTGGAGATCTGGAGATGTGGCTGGCAACATTGAGACAGACTGACAATCTTGAAAGGGGACTGCCGCTCACTGAGCAGAGTTAACTGGGGGCCTCTAGTTGAGTGGAAGGAGTTAAGGCAGCTACGGAACAGGCACTTAGCTGGGTTACAGTTTAACGTGGTAGCAAAAGGGACAAATACATTAGAATGTGACTCTCTCACTTCATTTCACACCAGTGTCTACAAGATATTTCAACTGCACAACTTACCTGCACAGGTGGCAGAGATTTTCACTTCTTCTTTGTTTGTTTCACATTTTTCTGTTTTCACAACCTCACTAATAAACACAACGTCCGCATCATCATCATCATCATGGGCGTCTGGCATTTTAAAAAGAAACAGTAAGCCGAGTTTATACTGGTGTAATTTACATAACATTATTAAAGTATACTCCACTCGCATACATTACATTTCACCTATGTAGAATATCTTTTCAAAAACATTCAGCTACACAAGGAAATTACCGATTAACCACTTCAGATTAAATGACATCCCAGGGCACAATAAACTCTTTGTAGAGGTCATGTGACTGCCCTGGGATGTCACTGCTCTGAGATGGCAATATGTAAACATACATTTCATGATCTGTGGTTAAACTCTCATACAGACAGCTCAGAGACTGTGTCCGCCAGTATTAGCAAGTTACCAGCATATCTAAATGGCGATAATAATAATAATAATTTCCATTATGTGATCGCTGTCAGCATCGGTGGGATATGTATTTTATTCTTGATATTGAAAACACAAAGTCACCTGAGATCGTTTTTTCTGGGTTTCTCGTGGCATCAGACACCTGGCGACCCTCTATAATAACATCCTTGTAAATGTCCTTGTGTCCCTCTATATAATCCCACTCCTCCATGGAGAAATAAACGGAAATATCGCCACATTTTATAGGTACCTGAAACGCAGACTAACATTCAATCATTTAACACAACAGGTCATTCCAAAAGACAATGACACCCACGAAATATCCTGCTATGGACAACAGAGGGGGAAACTGTGAAATCCAAATGGAAAAAATGAGGCTAAAAATCAATCAATCTGTGACTATAGCTAAGTTGGATATTTTTTCCCCAATAAGATATTTTAGCCATTTGGATTTAAATTTTCTAAAATTTGATGTTCATTGAATAACTTCGTGTGTCACTGAGAGGACACGTATTGATGTAATGATCATACATTCATCACCTTTCTATTGCATCCCTAGATCTAATATTATATACTGCAGTGAGAGTGGGTGATAGGCTTATTGTAATTGCTGATCAGAAAGCTTTAGTATTTTTTTTCGTAGTACAGCTGCTAATCGAGGAGGTTAACAGCCTTCAAAATAAATTATATTTCTGACAGCTCCAAACTGCGCCTCTCAGCTATGCTCATTAACTTTTCCCCAGCCTCTAGCCAGTGAGAGACAGAAATCCCAAATAGTAATTTATGCATTGGATACTCACCTCTCCATTTAGAAGATGAATGCTACTGTGGGGGGCACCTTTTTTAACAACTACATATTCCTGCAAAATAAGATCAGTAAATGCATGTCAGACTGTGGTGTAAGGGACAGACACCGTTCAATAATATATAATGATTAGCCTTGCTGTGGATCATGCCCTTTTAAGGCCCAGAAAATTGTACAATATTTTAAGCATCGCACTTTATCCAGTGACCTCCCATTCCGTAAAAATAGCTATCAGGAAATGTAAAACTTGCGGAGCTTTCATTATGATTTTGTGGAACCTTTTGCAGCATCTGTCATAGCAGAGATAACAGAGGGAATACATCATGGATATCACACGGACGCCTCAAGATGCATAATAATGCTTTTACAATTACGTAAAATCATTGTGTGCAGGAGAAATGCAACACAGGTCATCTATAAACCAAACCACAGTCAGTCACTTGGACCTTTACCTCTTCTAATGAACACATGATCTACAGTACAGAATAACCCTCTAACTCTGCTTCTTAACTCCTGGGTTCTAATTGCCTTGTATTGGATTCCAAATGGTTGGATTAGACACACAGGGGTATTCACTGAACCCTGAATTGTAGTAGATCGATGCTTGAATGGGAAAATTTAGAATCCCCTCTGCTGAGCCTTATCTGGTGAAATGCGCGAGTAAGAGGCTCTGATGGAATTCCCTCACCACGAATGAGTCTATGGACATTACTTCACCCAATACTTATCTGAATATGTGATGTAGGGATTTTACTGATCTTTTGCTTTTTCTTCCCAGTTTATATTAATAGATTTCTTCTTATAGTGAGCACATTAAGGACGTTAAAGGAACACTATAGGGTCAGGAACACAAACATGTATTCCTATAGTGTTAAAAACACTATCTAGCCCCCCTGGCCATCCCTTACCCCCCTAAATATAGTAAAATCTTACCTGATCTGTCTCCTTGGCTGACATCATCAGAAGTGATGATCTCAGCCAATCACAATACTTTCATATAGGAAAGCATCGGATTGTCTGAGATTGTCAATTCTGATGACCACAGCCAAGGAGGCAGGTCACGGGCAGAGCCAAACACTGCCCTGGCCAATCAACATCTCCTCATAGAGAAGCACTGAAACAAACAAACGAACCAAGCAAAGTGAATACTTATTGTGAGGAGTGTGTATTTAAATTAAAGGATCACTATATGGTCAGGAATACAAACATGTATTCCTGACCCTATAGTGTTAATAAAAACCATCTAGCCCCCTTGAATTCCCCTTTTCCCTTTGACTACCCACTAAGAAACAGTCTTTTTGGGTCACTTATAATCACATATCTAAAGCAAACAAATTTGGGGTTTTGGTAACACAATATGGCTATATCTTATTAAGCCCGCCACAGTAACCCAATATCGGTGGGACCTACATTAATTCTAAAATTATTGTAGGATGCACCAATATTAGGTGATTTTAAATAACCTAGTGAATTTGTGCACTGATTATTATTCTTTAAGCAGTAAAAAGTTGGCACTTAGATATAATCCCACCTCTCCAGTCAGCAGGAAGATGATCCCGAGAGCATGATTTAAGATTCTCTCCGAAATTTTCCTTTTGTCTTTTGTCAACTCCTTCATCTTCAGCGACTGAGACCTACAAGAAAGAGTGTAAAAATAGGAGTGTGATGAGTGAATAATAGTGGTTCTGGTCAATGGCTCTGAAATACTGGACTTTCAATGATACATATGTCCCGATTAAAGCTGTGAATTTTCACAGTATCACAAAAAGGAATGGCTAATGTGAAATAAATGTTCCTTGGGTTAATGTGGTCTGAGGTTGGTTGGACGGATGGAGACTTGCTTTCATATGGGTTTGCTACTTCAAAACTCCTGAAATATGATATTACCAATATCAAAAAAAAATTGAACTGGAATAAATTGGTTATTTACAGAATTCTGCCAAATCAAATATATTTCCCTGATACTCCTTCCATCTTTCGAGCTTCCTCATAAGGTGTGGATACAAACATGTTCACCACAATCCCTTTGTTGTGCTATCTTGGAGGAGGCAGACTTAATATTTTACAGATGACTGAGTACTTTAGTTAGGTATGATGTGTCTCATCAATCGGTGAAATGCAAACTAAAACATTACTGCTGGCTCCTAAACTTTGACTTTTTTTTTTACATTTGGCAACCTCAGCGTGACTCTTCCCTGCATCCTTCCAATAACAAGTCTGGTAAATACCGTTTAAATCTCTTTTCATGTCTTACATTTGTAGAAATAGGGATGTGACAGATCTGTCCATCAACCGCTACAGAATTTGGTGGTGCTTTATAAATAATAACATTCGTAATAACAGATTGAGCTGTGTGTGTTTATATGTTTAGTCTTTACAGTATGATAACATTATGATAAAAGGGTCACTGTGTGTGCAGCAAGCAGGGTAGGGGTGTAATAAATCATTATATACAGTAAGTACAGACCCAGGGCTGTAATAAATCATTATATAGAATATATCAATCATTATATACAGTAACTACAGACACCAGGGCTGTAATAAATCATTATATAGAATGTATCAATCATTATATACAGTAACTACAGACACCAGGGCTGTAATAAATCATTATATAGAATATGTAAATCACTATATACAGCAAATACAGAGCCAGGGCTGTAATAAATCATTATATAGAATATATCAATCATTATATAGAATATATCAATCACTATATACAGTAACTACAGACCCAGGGCTGTAATAAATCATTATATAGAATATATCAATCATTATATACAGTAAATACAGACCCAGGGCTGTAATAAATCATTATATAGAATATATCAATCATTATATACAGTAACTACAGACCCAGGGGTAATAAATCATTATATAGAATATATCAATCATTATATACAGTAACTACAGACCCAGGGCTGTAATCATTAATCATTATATACAGTAAGTACAGAGCCAGGGCTGTAATAAATCATTATATAGAATATATCAATCATTATATACAGTAAATACAGAGCCAGGGCTGTAATAAATCATTATATAGAATATATCAATCATTATATACAGTAAATACAGACCCAGGGCTGTAATAAATCATTATATATATCAATCATTATATACAGTAAATACAGACCCAGGGCTGTAATAAATCATTATATAGAATATATCAATCATTATATACAGTAAATACAGACCGTGGATATGTAATAAATCATTATATAGAATATATCAATCATTATATACAGTAACTACAGACCCAGGGCTGTAATAAATCATTATATAGAATATATCAATCATTATATACAGTAAATACAGACCCAGGGCTGTAATAAATCATTATATAAGAATATATCAATCATTATATACAGTAACTACAGACCCAGGGCTGTAATAAATCATTATATAGAATATATCAATCATTATATACAGTAACTACAGACCCAGGGCTGTAATAAATCATTATATAGAATATATCAATCATTATATACAGTAACTACAGACCCAGGGCTGTAATAAATCATTATATAGAATATATCAATCATTATATACAGTAACTACAGACCCAGGGCTGTAATAAATCATTATATAGAATATATCAATCACTATATACAGTAAATACACACCCAGGGCTGTAATAAATCATTATATAGAATATATCAATCATTATATACAGTAACTAAAGACCCAGGGCTGTAATAAATCATTATATAGAATATATCAATCACTATATACAGTAAATACAGACCCAGGGCTGTAATAAATCGTTATATAGAATGTATCAATCATTATATACAGTAAATACAGACCCAGGGCTGTAATAAATCGTTATATAGAATGTATCAATCATTATATACAGTAAATACAGACCCAGGGCTATAATAAATCGTTATATAGAATGTATCAATCATTATATACAGTAAATACTGACCCAGGGCTGTAATAAATCGTTATATAGAATGTATCAATCATTATATACAGTAAATACAGAGCCAGGGCTGTAATAAATCATTATATAGAATATATCAATCATTATATACAGTAAATACAGACCATGGATATGTAATAAATCATTATATAGAATATATCAATCATTATATACAGTAAATACAGACCCAGGGCTGTAACAAATCATTATATAGAATATATCAATCACTATATACAGTAAATACAGACCCAGGGCTGTAATAAATCATTATATAGAATGTATCAATCACTATATACAGTAACTACAGACCCAGGGCTGTAATAAATCATTATATAGAATATATCAATCATTATATACAATAAATACAGCCCCAGGGCTGTAATAAATCATTATTTAGAATATATCAATCATTATATACAGTAACTACAGACCCAGGGCTGAAATAAATCATTATATAGAATATATCAATCATTATATACAGTAAATACAGACCCAGGGCTGTAATAAATCATTATATAGAATATATCAATCACTATATACAGTAAATACAGACCCAGGGCTGTAATAAATCATTATATAGAATATATCAATCATTATATACAGTAACTACAGACCGTGGATATGTAATAAATCATTATATAGAATATATCAATCATTATATACAGTAACTACAGACCCAGGGCTGTAATAAATCATTATATAGAATGTATCAATCATTATATACAGTAACTACAGAGCCAGGGCTGTAATAAATCATTATATAGAATGTATCAATCACTATATACAGTAACTACAGACCCAGGGCTGTAATAAATCATTATATAGAATATATCAATCATTATATACAGTAACTACAGACCCAGGGCGGTAATAAATCATTATATAGAATATATCAATCATTATATACAGTAACTACAGACCCAGGGCTGTAATAAATCATTATATAGAATATATCAATCATTATATACAGTAACTACAGACCCAGGGCTGTAAGAAATTATATAGAATATATCAATCATTATATACAGTAAATACAGACCCAGGGCTGTAATAAATCATTATATAGAATATATCAATCATTATATATAGTAACTACAGACCCAGGGCTGTAATAAATCATTATATAGAATATATCAATCATTATATACAGTAACTACAGACCCAGGGCTGTAATAAATCATTATATAAAATATATCAATCATTATATACAGTAACTACAGACCCAGGGCTGTAATAAATCATTATATAGAATATATCAATCATTATATACAGTAACTACAGACCCAGGGCTGTAATAAATCATTATATAGAATATATCAATCATTATATACAGTAAATACAGACCATGGATATGTAATAAATCATTATATAGAATGTATCAATCATTATATACAGTAACTACAGACCCAGGGCTGTAATAAATCATTATATAGAGTATATCAATCATTATATACAGTAACTACAGACCCAGGGCTGTAATAAATCATTATATAGAATATATCAATCATTATATACAGTAACTACAGACCCAGGGCTGTAATAAATCATTATATAGAATATATCAATCATTATATACAGTAAATACAGACACAGGGCTGTAATAAATCATTATAAAGAATATATCAATCATTATATACAGTAACTACAGACCCAGGGCTGTAATAAATCATTATATAGAATATATTAATCACTATATACAGCAAATACAGACCCAGGGCTGTAATAAATTATATAGAATGTATCAATCATTATATACAGTAACTACAGACCCAGGGCAGTAATAAATCATTATATAGAATATATCAATCACTATATACAGTAACTACAGACCCAGGGCTGTAATAAATCATTATATAGAATATATCAATCATTATATACAGTAAATACAGACCATGGATATGTAATAAATCATTATATAGAATGTATCAATCATTATATACAGTAACTACAGACCCAGGGCTGTAATAAATCATTATATAGAATATATCAATCATTATATACAGTAACTACAGACCCAGGGCTGTAATAAATTATATAGAATATATCAATCACTATATACAGTACATACAGACCCAGGGCTGTAATAAATCATTATATAGAGTGTATCAATCACTATATACAGTAAATACAGACCCAGGGCTGTAATAAATCATTATATAGAGTGTATCAATCACTATATACAGTAACTACAGACCCAGGGCTGTAATAAATCATTCTATAGAATGTATCAATCATTATATACGGTAACTACAGACCCAGGGCTGTAATAAATCATTCTATAGAATGTATCAATCATTATATACGGTAACTACAGACCCAGGGCTGTAATAAATCATTCTATAGAATGTATCAATCATTATATACGGTAACTACAGACCCAGGGCTGTAATAAATCATTCTATAGAATATATCAATCATTATATACGGTAACTACAGACCCAGGGCTGTAATAAATCATTCTATAGAATATATCAATCATTATATACGGTAACTACAGACCCAGGGCTGTAATAAATCATTCTATAGAATATATGTCCCATTATATCTGGTAACTACAGACCCAGAGGCTGTAATAAATCATTCTATAGAATATCGTATATACGGTGACTACAGACCCAGAGGGCTGTAATAAATCATTCTATAGAATATATCAATCGTATATCACGGTAAATACAGACCAGCTGTAATAAATCATTATATAGAATATATCAATCACTATATCACGGTAACTACAGACCCAGGGCTGTAATAAATCGTATATAGAATATATCCAATCACTATATCACGGTAACTACAGACCCAGAGGCTGTAATAAATCATTATATAGAATATATCAATCATTATATACGGTAACTACAGACCCAGGGCTGTAATAAATCATTATATAGAATATATCAATCAATATATATGGTAACTACAGACCCAGGGCTGTAATAAATCATTATATAGAATATATCTATCATTACATACAGTAACTACAGACCCAGGGCTGCAATAAATCACTATATAGAATATATCAATCATTATATACAGTAACTACAGACCCAGGGCTGTAATAAATCACTATATAGAATATATCAATCATTATATACAGTAACTACAGACCCAGGGCTGTAATAAATCATTATATAGAATATATCAATCACTATATACAGTAAATACAGACCCCGGGCTGTAATAAATCATTATATAGAATATATCAATCACTATATACAGTAAATACAGACCCAGGGCTGTAATAAATCATTATATAGAATATATCAATCACTATATACAGTAACTACAGACCCAGGGCTGTAATAAATCATTACATAGAGTATATCAATCACTATATACAGTAACTACAGACCCAGGGCTGTAATAAATCATTATACAGAATGTATCAATCATTATATACAGTAACTATAGAGCCAGGGCTGTAATAAATCATTATATAGAATATATCAATCATTATATACAGTAACTACAGAGCCAGGGCTGTAATAAATCAATCATTATATACAGTAACTACAGTGCCAGGGCTATAATAAATCAATCATTATATACAGTAAATACAGACCCTGGGCTGTAATAAATCATTATATAGAATATATCAATCATTATATACAGTAACTACAGACCCAGGGCTGTAATAAATCATTATATAGAGTATATCAATCATTATATACAGTAACTACAGACCCAGGGCTGTAATAAATCATTATATAGAATATATCAATCATTATATACAGTAACTACAGACCCAGGGCTGTAATAAATCATTATATAGAATATATCAATCATTATATACAGTAAATACAGACCCAGGGCTGTAATAAATCATTATATAGAATATATCAATCATTATATACAGTAACTACAGACCCAGGGCTGTAATAAATTATATAGAATATATCAATCATTATATACAGTAACTACAGACCCAGGGCTGTAATAAATCATTATATAGAATATATCAATCATTATATACAGTAAATACAGACCATGGATATGTAATAAATCATTATATAGAATGTATATCATTATATCAGTAAATACAGACCCAGGGCTGTAATAAATCAGAATATATCAATCATTATATACAGTAACTACAGACCCAGGGCTGTAATAAATCATTATATAGAATGTATCAATCATTATATACAGTAACTACAGACCCAGGGCTGTAATAAATCATTATATAGAGTATATCACTCATTATATACAGTAACTACGGACCCAGGGCTGTAATAAATCATTATATAGAATATATCAATCATTATATACAGTAACTACAGACCCAGGGCTGTAATAAATCATTATATAGAATATATCAATCATTATATACAGTAAATACAGACCCAGGGCTGTAATAAATCATTATATAGAATATATCAATCATTATATACAGTAACTAAAGACCCAGGGCTGTAATAAATCATTATATAGAATATATCAATCACTATATACAGCAAATAAGACCCACTGTAATAAATCATTATATAGAATGTATCAATCATACTATATACAGTAAACTACAGACCCAGGGCTGTAATAAATCATTATATAGAATATATCAATCATTATATACAGTAAATACAGACCATGGATATGTAATAAATCATTATATAGAATGTATCAATCATTATATACAGTAACTACAGACCCAGGGCTGTAATAAATCATTATATAGAATATATCAATCATTATATACAGTAACTACAGACCCAGGGCTGTAATAAATTATATAGAATATATCAATCACTATATACAGTAAATACAGACCCAGGGCTGTAATAAATCATTATATAGAGTGTATCAATCACTATATACAGTAAATACAGACCCAGTATATCAATCATTATATACAGTAACTACAGACCCAGGGCTGTAATAAATCATTATATAGAATGTATCAATCACTATATACGGTAACTACAGACCCAGGGCTGTAATAAATCATTATATAGAATGTATCAATCATTATATACAGTAACTACAGACCCAGGGCTGTAATAAATCATTATATAGAAATATCAATCATTATATACAGTAACTACAGACCCAGGGCTGTAATAAATCATTATATAGAATATATCAATCATTATATACAGTAACTACAGACCCAGGGCTGTAATAAATCATTATATAGAATATATCAATCATATATACAGTAAATACAGACCATTATGTAATAAATCATTATATAGAATGTATCAATCATTATATACAGTAAATACAGACCCAGGGCTGTAATAAATCATTATATAGAATATATCAATCATTATATACAGTAACTACAGACCCAGGGCGGTAATAAATCATTATATAGAATGTATCAATCATTATATACAGTAACTACAGACCCAGGGCTGTAATAAATCAGAGTACGGATAAGTCTCCATCCGTCCAACCAACCTCAGACCACATTAACCCTATATTCTATATAATGATTTATTACAGCCCTGGGTCTGTAGTTACTGTATATAATGATTGATATATTCTATATAATGATTTATTACAGCCCAGGGTCTGTATTTACTGTATATAATGATTGATATATTGTATATAATGATTTATTACAGCCCTGGGTCTGTATTTACTGTATATAATGATTGATATATTCTATATAATGATTTATTACAGCCCTGGGTCTGTATTTACTGTATATAATGATTTATTACACCCCTACCCTGCTTGCTGCACACACAGTGACCCTTTTATCATAATGTTATCATACTGTATATACAGTAACTACAGACCCAGGGCGGTAATAAATCATTATATAGAATATATCAATCATTGTATAGAATGTATCAATCATTATATACAGTAACTACAGACCCAGGGCTGTAATAAATTATATAGAATGTATCAATCATTATATACAGTAACTACAGACACAGGGCTGTAATAAATCATTATATAGAATATATCAATCACTATATACAGTAACTACAGACCCAGGGCGGTAATAAATCATTATATAGAATATATCAAATCATTGTATAGAATGTATCAATCATTATATACAGTAACTACAGACCCAGGGCTGTAATAAATCATTATATAGAGTATATCAATCATTATATACAGTAACTACAGACCCAGGGCTGTAATAAATCATTATATAGAATATATCAATCATTATATACAGTAACTACAGACCCAGGGCGGTAATAAATCATTATATAGAATATATCAATCACTATATACAGTAACTACAGAGCCAGGGCTGTAATAAATCATTATATAGAATGTATCAATCATTATATACAGTAAATACAGACCCAGGGCTGTAATAAATCATTATATAGAATGTATCAATCATTATATACAGTAACTACAGACCCAGAGCTGTAATAAATCATTATATAGAATGTATCAATCATTATATACAGTAACTACAGACCCAGGGCTGTAATAAATCATTATATAGAATATATCAATCACTATATACAGTAACTACAGACCCAGGGCTGTAATAAATCATTATATAGAATATATCAATCACTATATACGGTAACTACAGACCCAGGGCTGTAATAAATCATTATATAGAATATATCAATCATTATATACGGTAACTACAGACCCAGGGCTGTAATAAATCATTATATAGAATATATCAATCATTATATACAGTAACTACAGAGCCAGGGGTGTAATAAATCATTATATAGAATGTATCAATCATTATATACAGTAACTACAGAGCCAGGGCTGTAATAAATCATTATATAGAATGTATCAATCATTATATACAGTAACTACAGAGCCAGGGCTGTAATAAATCATTATATAGAATGTATCAATCATTATATACAGTAACTACAGAGCCAGGGCTGTAATAAATCATTATATAGAATATATCAATCACTATATACAGTAAATACAGACCCAGGGCTGTAATAAATCATTATATAGAGTATATCAATCACTATATACGGTAACTACAGACCCAGGGCTGTAATAAATCATTATATAGAATATATCAATCATTATATACAGTAAATACAGACCCAGGGCTGTAATAAATCATTATATAGAATATATCAATTATTATATACAGTAAATACAGACCATGGATATGTAATAAACCATTATATAGAATGTATCAATTATATACAGTAACTACAGAGCCAGGGCTGTAATAAATCATTATATAGAATATATCAATCATTATATACAGTAACTACAGACCCAGGGCGGTAATAAATCATTATATAGAATATATCAATCATTATATACAGTAAATACAGACCCAGGGCTGTAATAAATCATTATATAGAAAATATCAATTATTATATACAGTAAATACAGACCATGGATATGTAATAAATCATTATATAGAATGTATCAATCATTATATACAGTAACTACAGAGCCAGGGCTGTAATAAATCATTATATAGAATATATCAATTATTATTTACAGTAAATACAGACCATGGATATGTAATAAATCATTATATAGAATGTATCAATCATTATATACAGTAACTACAGAGCCAGGGCTGTAATAAATTATATAGAATATATCAATCATTATATACAGTAACTACAGACCCAGGGCGGTAATAAATCATTATATAGAATATATCAATCATTATATACAGTAAATACAGACCCAGGGCTGTAATAAATCATTATATAGAATATATCAATCATTATATACAGTAAATACAGACCCAGGGCTGTAATAAATCATTATATAGAATATATCAATCATTATATACAGTAACTACAGACCCAGGGCTGTAATAAATCATTATATAGAATATATCAATTATTATATACAGTAAATACAGACCATGGATATGTAATAAATCATTATATAGAATGTATCAATCATTATATACAGTAACTACAGAGCCAGGGCTGTAATAAATCATTATATAGAATATATCAATCATTATATACAGTAACTACAGACCCAGGGCTGTAATAAATCATTATATAGAATATATCAATCATTATATACAGTAACTACAGACCCAGGGCTGTAATAAATCATTATATAGAATATATCAATTATTATATACAGTAAATACAGACCATGGATATGTAATAAATCATTATATAGAATGTATCAATCATTATATACAGTAACTACAGAGCCAGGGCTGTAATAAATCATTATATAGAATATATCAATTATTATATACAGTAAATACAGACCATGGATATGTAATAAATTATATAGAATGTATCAATTATATACAGTAACTACAGAGCCAGGGCTGTAATAAATCATTATATAGAATATATCAATCATTATATACAGTAACTACAGACCCAGGGCGGTAATAAATCATTATATAGAATATATCAATCATTATATACAGTAACTACAGACCCAGGGCGGTAATCAATCATTATATAGAATATATCAATAATTATATACAGTAACTACAGACCCAGGGCGGTAATAAATCATTATATAGAATATATCAATCATTATATACAGTAAATACAGACCCAGGGCGGTAATAAATCATTATATAGAATATATCAATCATTATATACAGTAACTACAGACCCAGGGCGGTAATAAATCATTATATAGAATATATCAATCACTATATACAGTAAATACAGACCCAGGGCTGTAATAAATCATTATATAGAATATATCAATCATTATATACAGTAACTACAGACCCAGGGCGGTAATAAATCATTATATAGAATGTATCAATCATTATATACAGTAACTACAGACCCAGGGCGGTAATAAATCATTATATAGAATATATCAATCACTATATACAGTAAATACAGACCCAGGGCTGTAATAAATCATTATATAGAATATATCAATCACTATATACAGTAACTACAGACCCAGGGCTGTAATAAATCATTATATAGAATATATCAATCATTATATACAGTAACTACAGACCCAGGGCTGTAATAAATCATTATATAGAATATATCAATCACTATATACAGTAAATACAGACCCAGGGCGGTAATAAATCATTATATAGAATATATCAATCATTATATACAGTAACTACAGAGCCAGGGCTGTAATAAATCATTATATAGAATATATCAATCATTATATACAGTAACTACAGACCCAGGGCGGTAATAAATCATTATATAGAATATATCAATCATTATATACAGTAAGTACAGACCCAGGGCGGTAATAAATTATATAGAATATATCAATCATTATATACAGTAACTACAGACCCAGGGCGGTAATAAATCATTATATAGAATATATCAATCATTATATACAGTAAATACAGACCCAGGGCTGTAATAAATCATTATATAGAAAATATCAATTATTATATACAGTAAATACAGACCATGGATATGTAATAAATCATTATATAGAATGTATCAATCATTATATACAGTAACTACAGAGCCAGGGCTGTAATAAATCATTATATAGAATATATCAATTATTATTTACAGTAAATACAGACCATGGATATGTAATAAATCATTATATAGAATGTATCAATCATTATATACAGTAACTACAGAGCCAGGGCTGTAATAAATTATATAGAATATATCAATCATTATATACAGTAACTACAGACCCAGGGCGGTAATAAATCATTATATAGAATATATCAATCATTATATACAGTAAATACAGACCCAGGGCTGTAATAAATCATTATATAGAATATATCAATCATTATATACAGTAACTACAGACCCAGGGCTGTAATAAATCATTATATAGAATGTATCAATCATTATATACAGTAACTACAGACCCAGGGCTGTAATAAATCATTATATAGAATATATCAATCATTATATACAGTAACTACAGACCCAGGGCGGTAATAAATCATTATATAGAATATATCAATTATATACAGTAACTACAGAGCCAGGGCTGTAATAAATCATTATATAGAATATATCAATCATTATATACAGTAACTACAGACCCAGGGCTGTAATAAATCATTATATAGAATATATCAATCACTATATACAGTAACTACAGACCCAGGGCGGTAATAAATCATTATATAGAATGTATCAATCATTATATACAGTAACTACAGACCCAGGGCGGTAATAAATCATTCTATAGAATATATCAATCACTATATACGGTAACTACAGACCCAGGGCTGTAATAAATCATTCTATAGAATATATCAATCATTATATACAGTAACTACAGACCCAGGGCGGTAATAAATCATTATATAGAATGTATCAATCATTATATACAGTAAATACAGACCCAGGGCTGTAATAAATCATTATATAGAATGTATCAATCATTATATACAGTAACTACAGACCCAGGGCTGTAATAAATCATTATATAGAATATATCAATCATTACACACAGTGTGAGAGGGCAGAGATCTTACCTTGTAGCCATAGTCACTCTAAGGAGTAAGGAAACAGAGTGAGGTGTGCTGGTTGGCTGAGCTAGGCGTGGCGTCACCAACCAACGAGTGACAGAACTACAACTCCCTGAATCCCTCGCGGTGGGGTTCTGCCAGATCAGCCCTCATCAACCTTTGAACGACGGGTTAAACCGAACGGTAGCGCTGTGCGAGGGATTCTGGGACGTGTAGTTCGGCAGGCGCGTCGGCCGCCTCGCTTTCGCTGACCTCAGAACTACAACCCCCGAATGCATTGGTGCTGACATCACGCCGAGCTCAGCCAATCAGCGCAGTGCGCTCTGATTCCACGTCTGCCCACCGGTGCTGTGATAATGGCTGCGAGGTAATGAATTCTGCTGTCACTGTGTTTACATTGCTCACCCAGCGAGCAGCGAGTCCCAGGCCGTGTCTACCTGTGTGTGTGTCAGGCTGTCAGTATGTCACTGTGTCACTGGACAGGCCAGTGGCATGCTGGGAGAATACTCACTGCATGTATTATATACAGGGTTATTATATACAGGGCTTATTATATACAGGGTTTATTATATACAGGGTGTATTATATACAGGGTGTATTATATACAGGGTTTATTATATACAGGGTTATTATATACAGGGTTTATTATATACAGGGCTTATTATATACAGGGTTTATTATATGTGTTACTATATACAGGGTTATTATATACAGGCTTATTATATACAGGGTTTATTATATGTGTTATTATATACAGGGTTATTGTATACAGGGTTATTATATACAGGGCTCATTATATACAGGGTTTATTATATACAGGGCTTATTATATGTGTTATTATATACAGGGTTATTATATACAGGCTTATTATATACAGGCTTATTATATACAGGGTCTATTATATGTGTTATTATATACAGGGTCTATTATATGTGTTATTATATACAGGGTTATTATATACAGGGCTCATATACAGGGTTTATTATATACAGGGATTATTATATACAGGGTTATTATATACAGGGCTTATTATATACAGGGCTTATTATATACAGGGCTCATTATATACAGGGCTTATTATATACAGGCTTATTATATACAGGGCTTATTATATACAGGGTTATTATATACAGGGTTTATTATTTACAGGTTTATTATATACAGGGTTTATTGTTTACAGGGTTATTATATACAGGGCTTATTATATACAGGGCTCATTATATACAGGGTTTATTATATACAGGGTTTATTATTTACAGGGTTATTATATACAGGGTTTATTATTTACAGGGTTATATACAGGGTTTATTGTTTACAGGGTTATTATATACAGGGTTTGTTATATACAGGGCTTATTATATACAGGGCTCATTATATACAGGGCTTATTATATACAGGGTTTATTATTTACAGGGTTATTATATACAGGGTTTATTATATACAGGGTTTATTATATACAGGGTTTATTGTTTACAGGGTTATTATATACAGGGCTTATTATATACAGGGCTTATTATATACAGGGCTCATTATATATAGGGTTTATTATATACAGGGTTATTATATACAGGGTTTATTGTTTACAGGGTTATTATATACAGGGTTTATTATATACAGGGCTTATTATATACAGGGCTCATTATATACAGGGCTTATTATATACAGGGTTATTATATACAGGGTTTATTATATACAGGGTTTATTGTTTACAGGGTTATTATATACAGGGCTTATTATATACAGGGCTCATTATATACAGGGTTTATTATATACAGGGTTATTATATACAGGGTTTATTATATGTGTTATTATATACAGGGTTTATTATATACAGGGCTTATTATATACAGGGCTTATTATATACAGGGTTTATTATATACAGGGCTTATATACAGGGCTTATTATATACAGGGTTTATTATATATAGGGCTTATTATATACAGGGCTTATTATATAGAGGGCTTATTATATACAGGGTTTATTATATACAGGGTTATTATATACGGGGCTTATTATATACAGGGTTTATTATATACAGGGTTTATTATATGTGTTATTATATACAGGGTTTATTACATGTGATATTATATACAGGGTTTATTATATGTGATATTATATACAGGGTTTATTATATGTGATATTATATACAGGGTTTATTATATGTGTTATTTATTATATACAGGGTTTATTATTTTGTTTGTTTTATTATATGTGTGATGTAGAATTATTAAAATCTTTACTGAACTTGTATTGAATAATTGTACTAACTCCATTTTAATCTCACACTATGACAGAATTCTCCATTTTGTTCACCTTACATGACAGAATTTCCTGACAGTATTCAGTATAATGAATAAGAGATTGTATTTTCTCTCTCTAAGGACATGACTAGCCCCGGAGTTAGCGGATCTCCCGTAACTTGCAACATAGTATAATCCAAGGCCAGGAGAACAGCGACTAAATGAAATGTTCTATTCATAAAAGAACCTTGGACCAGACCACGAGACTGACATCACTAACTACGTAAAATGATGCCCAAGCCCCCCCTTTCCACCGAGTAAGCCTCGTGCTAAAGAGCAATGGCGACGACATCCCATGATGGGAGGGTGCCTCACTAGTCACTCAAATCTCTGAGCCAATTAATAATATTAATGGGTGGACACTGACATAGCCACTTAACATTTAACCCAATTAATGATGTTTATTTGTTATTATCTGATATTCAATGATGATGTCATTTTGCATATAAAAAGGCCTGCGTGCCCGCTTTTTAACTAGATGCTAATAAATTTCCTGAAGTGTTTTTAACCTGAACTGCATGTGTCAGTGTGAACTTCTGCGTATACGCAATTTGTTCATCTCAGATTTGGACAGGAACAGATAGACTTTTAAACATTTTTGTTTATTTCTAAATTAATCTACATCATGTGTTGTGTTATACATGTTATTATATGTGCAGGGTCCCAGGGTCGCTCTCTTATAGTCACATCCCAAATAAACCAGTCAGATCACTTACACTGAAAGCCATGGGCTACTAACCTTTTTTGGACCAAATCACCCATTAATTAGAGGAAACAAACATTTCAATATACACAAATATTTATTGGGGACTTATAAATGTCACATTTTCTTACAGCCTTATTAGATAAGAATGATACATATTTAGCGCATGCCTCTAGCTAAATTAAATCACCAGTTCTAATTCATTTTATTTTATGCACTTCTTAATTGGTGCATAAAAGGAATCTTTTCTTTCAACCTGTTCCATACATGAAGTCAATATGAGTTATTTAAAGACAGAGTAGCCAAACTAAAAGCATAACTGACTTAGTGAATTTTTCCAGTCTGGCTATTTTGACCTTAAATTACATTATTTTTCTAATTCCCACTTCAGTGAATAACCCTGATAGCTCATGGGTTGCTAGTGTCACTCGCACCTCTATTGTGTATACTGTATGCACCATATGGAAAGCCTTTACTTTCTCTTCCCTAATGGATTGTGCATGCGCTGTCTGTGAATTTTTAATGCGCTGTTCATGAAACTGTGAACTGAGTTGTATATATCGTGATAGACACTGTGGTGCGGCTTCCAGCAGTTTATTGCGTAGTTTCAACTGCTCTTCGTAAGTAAACTGAGCATCCCATAATCCTCTACTGGACCGCTGGGAATTATGAAATAAGTGCAGTTTTTAGCACTGTATCTAACTCCTGTACAAATACATTGAACTTTATTACCACTTTGCAGCTAATAGACAATCTTCTGGCAAGCTTCGGTGAAATCTATCTGGGCCTGGCACAATACTGAACTGTATATCCACCGAGCGATTACCTGCAGTCTACATCTAGAGGTAAATGCATTATTTATAGCAATTTATCAGAGGATACATTGGGAATAGTTACTATTACTCAGGTTTCTTCCTGTACAGCACTATGGTTTATAGCTAGTCTGTAGCTAGCCAATAATGCAAACCAAACTACTGTTTTATTTAAATTTTTTTTTACTTTTAATATATATTTTTTTTTTTTAGCTTTTAATCATATTCGGTATATCAGGAAATCGCAACTTCTGATATGATGGAGGGGGTGGTAAACAGATGTTTGCAACTAAAGGAGTTACAGTGAAATGAACAGCTATATGTAATAATAGTAAAAGGCCTGTGTTTGTTGGTAATAGCCATTTTCTCTGGGTCGTTGGGGAGAACAACCATTATGGTGCTATTGCTTTGCTGATCTTTCTCCCATTTCTGTTGGTCTCTGTTACAGAGGATGATAGAGATGACTAAGGACACGAAGCAGATGACGGAGAGGATCTTGAACCATGCTCTCGGGATCATCTTCTTACTGACTGGAGAGGTGGGAACTGTTCTGTTCTATCCCAATGAGCACTCGTTACTGCCGTCACTAATGGAGAGCAATGGCTAAGAATAGAAGTGTTTTACAGGGAAACTACAATTTCTCTGGAATTTACACCAATGCATACAACAATGAAAATCACCTGTAACTCGTGTTGGGCTTTTTTACATAAGGTGCTCCATTTTCTTTAAATTTATAAATAAAGATTTAGGAAATGACTCCATACTTCAGTTCAGACACGGCAATACCAGGGCAAACATTGCAAGTTGAGAAGGGAAATAGAAACATGATTTTATTTCTCCTGTTTTCTGTATGATTTCTCTATGCCGACTGCCGGGTGCATAGGGCAAAGTTTGTAACAATGATTGACAGGGGCTAAGATGGAGTCGCCCAGTTTCAAGATGAGAAGTTGTGGATTTCTGAATTAAATTTTATTTTCTACACCTCACAAAAAATATTTGTTAAATTGTAAGGATAAGTAAACATAATATTAAAAATACTGGTAAGTGACAATTTCCCTTTAAAGGGACACTCCAGGCACCCAGACCACTTCTGCCCATTGGAGTGGTCTGGGCGCCAACTCCCACTACCCTTAATCCTGCAGGTGTAATTAATAATTACCTTGCAGGGTTAAGTCCTCCTCTAGTGGCTGTCTATAAGACAGCCACTAGAGGGACTTCCGTGTTCTTAGAACACGAAAGTGTGTTATATGACGCTGGACGTCCTTACACTATGCGTGTTAGGTCGCTCGGCGGGAGAGGAGAATAGGCGGAGCCTGACCCAGTGCCAAGGGACATCGAAGCTGGACTCCGGTAAGTCACTTGGGATATGGGGTGGGAGGGAGAGGGGCACTACAGGGTCCTGCAGTGCCAGCAAAACAAATGTTTTCCTGGCACTGGAGAATCCCTTTAACCCCAAACTTCTGGAATAAAAGGGAATCATGACATGTCACACATGTCATGTGACCTTAACCCCTTAAGGACATGTGACATGTCATGATTCCCTTTTATTCCAGTAGTTTGGTCCTTAAGGGGTTAATAGAGAACGTGGGACTGGCCAGTGGATTGAACATACAAAGTACAAGAGACTATGAAAAGGAACATTTATTCACTTTTAAACAAATGTGGGTTTGGTCAGTGGGCTGTGCTTTACTGTAGGGCAGGGGTAAATCACAGGGTGAGATGGGCCTGGTGACTGACTGCGGCTGACTACAGATAATATAAATTTCAGCGCTATTTCTAAATGTGCCAATTCACCTTTGGACAGTGATTCCAACTAATCCTAAATCTCAATATGACACTGCTGATGTTATCCCAAGTGTTTCTAGTTTCCATGTATTCTGAAATAACTATTATAACATAACCAGGAGTTTATTTTTCAGGTGAAATTTAGAAATGAATCAGCCACCATACCTGTATTTTTAAGTAAATAGTAGTAATGCTGATTGTTTGTTTTATGATACATAAGGTTGTTGTGTGATATATTGCTCCCTCTTGTTGTGCAGGAATATGTTGTTGTGAAAAAGAGTTCTCCGCACAGCATTCATCTGCTGACTGGAGAGGTGAGTGTTTAGCACAGGAGTTACTGTTTGACTCCACTAGGTCAGTTTTTGGGATACTATGACTCATGAAGACTTCCATTACCTTGACATATAGCCAGCAAGCATTATTAAGGCAGGCAGGGTATCCTGGGAAAGGAACCTGGCAAAAGTGAGTTCTAGGGTAGGTTTTTTTTTAAATTTATTTTTGTAGTATTTGGATAAAATCTTAGCTGTATAGTTGCTTAGCTAAAGTAAGCTAATTGATTTTGATGAGGATTCATATGGTAGTGGGAGGAGCATAGGGTGATGGCTTCTTCATTTATGGATAACTAGTCTTAAAAAGAGTTCCATGGGAAACACGTAGGCATTAAATTGCCAGCTGATTGCTTCATTACCGTCAATCTCTGGTTTCTTGTGGACTTTGGATTGGATTTTTGAACAGCTCCACAGGGCAAATAAAAATGAGTTTGTTTATAGTTTACAGTTTGTTTACAGTTTTATGAACTTGGAGTTCCTGTTACTGTTTTCTTTTAAAACTGTTCAAGGACAAGCTGTCCCATTACCAATACACACTAAAACCCCACTTATAGAAGTACTGTTCCTCTGACTAATTGATTTTCCACCTTAAGTACATTACTATTAAAGTGCATTGGGAAAGAGAAGAATACATTCTTGATGCCCATGGACCTCTATAAGCGATCTGCTGTGGCTATGGTGAACATAATCAATTTACTCCACTAGGGGGCACTCGTGATCACATATTTCCGTTCTGTTTATTTTATTTATTTTTGTCAGTTTGTGTTAAAGGTACACTATAGGCACCCAGACCACTTCGGCTAATTGAAGTGGTCTGGGTGCTGTGTCCCTTTTGCACCTAATTCTGCAATGTAAAACATTGCATTTCCAGAGAACTACAATGTTTAAATTGCAGCACTAAGTCTGCCCTCTGTGGCTGTCTAGCTTCTGTAATTGAAACAAATGTTTGGTCTGTTATCTGACGCTGGACGTCCTCACGCTCTGCATGAGGACCTCCAGCGTCAGATTTTCCAAATAGGAAAGCACTGATTAATGCTTTCCTATGGGGAAATCCTAATGCAAGGGCGGCCATTGCTGCGCATGTGCATTAGGGGGAGAAGCGTGGGCAGGGCCTGACCCAGCCCGAGGGACATCAGTGCTGGATTCAGGTAAGTTACTGAAGGGGTTTTAAACCCTTCATCCCCGCGGTAGGGGTTAGGGGATTAGCGAGGGAGGGTGGCTCCTTAGAAACCTAGAGTGCCAGGAAAGTGGCTTTGTTTTCTGTGGCTTTGTGTGTTTTTATATGGCATCAGGAAAACCTTCAGGGGAAACAGGTTAATAAGGAGTTAAGACAAATCAACCCCTGTTCTCGTGATGACTATGGTTTAGGCAATCTTTAGTAAGATACAATGTTTTTGGCACGGTTTTGCATCTTTGTTCTCTATAGCAATATGTTTGTTAGATTGCTTTAGGATTTAATTATCTGTGTTTTAGGTCCCGATAAAGTGTGGGGATATTTCCATCTATTTCTCCATGGAGGAATGGGATTACATCGAGGGACACAAGGACATTTACCAGGATGTTATGATAAAGGGTCGCCAGGTGTCTGATGCAAGTAGAAGTCCAAAAAGAAGAAGCACAGGTGACCTTGTGTTTTAATTGTTATGAAGTAGATAAATGTCCTACCAGCTGTGTGCAGGTTCCAACCACCAAATCTCACACAGGAATCCCCCATCGCCTATGGCTTAAAGGGAAACTATAATGCCACGAAAACAAACTTTGTTTTCCTGGCACTATAGCTTTCAATTCAGTCAAGGTAAACCCCTCCACCCCCCTGTACAGAAAGGGTTAAAAACACCTTATGTCACTTACTTAGGTTTAGCGTCGATGTTCCTCCGCGATGGCTTGAGTCCTCCTTCTTCCCTCCCCTGTTGACGTCAGCTGAAGGGGGAGACCTAATGCGCATGTGCTCGCATTAGAACAGCCCAATAGGAAAACATTATTCAATCTATTTCCATGTAGCTTTGGGTGATGCTGAACTTACCCATGCATAGCGCGAGGAAATCCAGTGTCACGTTAGGCGACCGATCCACTAATCACCAAACTGTGGTGAATTGAACAAAAAAATAAAATCAAAATGTGGGCAGCATTATCCACTTTGAAAAACTTCTGCAATTCAGCTCTGTTATCAAATAATTATGTTTGAATTAATTTTTTTTCATATTCTAATTAATAGTTTTTATAAATAATACTTACAAGGCTTAAAAAAGTTCAAGTTTACTAGCCAGGGTTTAAAAGTTACTCATTGATGCAAGCCAAAGGTGAGTTTCTACAAAAATTTGGCATGGCAATGGCTAGTGGCTGAGTGGAAATTCTGAGTCTTGAATTTAATTTTTAAGTCTCAATATGTATAGAGGCAGGTGAGATAAAATGGCGAGATTTAAAAAGCATGTCTTTAAATAAGATTATTTTTTATTACATTCACAGGAACCCATGATGAAAACGTAGACCCTGTGTTTATTAGTGAGGTTCCTAAAAATGATAAACTTAACAGAGACAGTGAACAAGTGGAAGTCTCGGTGAACACCGGTGCAGGTAATATGGAACGTGACTTAAAATTCTTTGGATCATTGTCCTGCAAAGCATATTGTGGTCAGTAGATTCAGTTTTACAGCTTTTCTATAAAACTTATATATCTCTCCTATCTAGTTCTACCAATGGCCAAAGGGAAGTTCAGTGTGCTCCTGCAATTTATCCCAGAATGCTTTTCTTTCATTATAGATGATCAGGGTTATTTACTAAAGTGAGAATTCAAAGTCAATTCCACATTTAAGGCCAGAGGAGCTGCACTTTTAGCTTAAGAATTTTTTGAGTTTGGCTATTGTGACCTTAAATTTGAAATTCACCTTCAATTCTCACTTTAGTGAAATACTGTGCAAGTCTAGAGTGCTGTAAGGTGAACCTCATGGCCTCGATATGATTATTTGTAGACAGAAAGTAGGCTCTGATAGAATCCATTTAAATCCACACCACCACTTGCAGGGAGTGCGCCTTAAATGTCCACTCATTTAAAGGCTCCTCGTGGAGGTGGAGAAGGTTGATCTACTTACCTGAAGTTCTCACTCCTACACTGCAGAACCTTGTGCACCTTACAGCATGAAGATGACATGTGCAGAGTCCTTTTTTTGTCACTAGCATGCAAAATAGATCAATGGATGTTTCAGAGATTTTTGCACATTTTGCTACAATTCAAAGTAGTTCCTTTCTTTGCTCTTATTTATCTTATGATTACATTACTATTTTAATGAAATACCAGGACAGTCTATATGAGTTTTATTTGGAGGACTCCACCGTCCATTTTGACTAGTCTGGTCTTAGTAACGATAACATGGAGCCCCAAAAATGCATCATTAAAATAAAAAAATCCCAATTGTTCATTCTAACAGGTGATTTAACTAGTGATATTGTACACAGTGGTGAAATAAATGAGGCACCAGTTGTGAAGAGTAACCCGGAAACCAAGGAAAAACAAATGGATGGAGACATCTGCACAGGTGAGACATCTCATATTAGCTGTGGTTTACATTGAGGGACCACTAAAGGCACCCTGACCACTTCATCTCAATGAAGTGGTCCTATCATTTTAACCCTGCGATGCTTTGTAGGAACTTGTTCTCATTGCAGGGTTAAACACTCCTCTAGTGGCATTTCCGCTACAATAACTGTGGCAGATTCCGTTATTCAGCCAAATGCTTCTCATTGGGAAGCTATGGTGGATGTTTATTAAGTCTCCACTATAGACAGTTTGATTGTGTAATTGATAGCCAGCAGAGGCATACTGATTGACAAATGTAAACATTGCTGTTTTTCAGAAGTGGTAAGGCTTACATTTACCAGACTGCAGGGACAGGTGTAGTGGTTTTGGTCAGTAGAGTGTCCTTTTAAGAACAGATATTGGTTCTTTAATAATGCCTTTTTTTTTATTTATTTTTTTATATCAAGTTTGTAAAACACAAATGATAAACCCACTGTAAATGTCTTGTCTCGCAGGCTGTTCCTTAGTGGAAGATTCATCCACGAATAAGGATATGTTTACAAAATCCCAAACAGAGGCTCTGTCTTCAGATACGACAGTGGAAGGTGATACCATTTCATCTTGCAAGATCACCAGAGAGTTACACACAGCACATAGTTCTATGGACGAGACTGTAGAAAGTGAAAACTGCACATCTCATGGGCTTAAACAAGAATCCCGTACACAGACTTGTGCATTGGCTCAGACAGTGGAACAGGATTCTGTTACATCCCATAAGTTTGTAGATGAGTCTTGGAAAATGTCCTCTTCATTGGCTCACACGGTGGCTAATACCAGTAGATCACATGACTTTCAAAGAGGGTCCTGGACAGTACCCTGTACTTCTGATTGGTCAGCTGGAGGTGGCAATGAGGCATCCCATGGGTGTAAAGAAGAAACTCAAGTAGTGGACTGTTCACTGCCTTGTACAGTGGAAGGTGATACCACTACTTCTCATGCATTTCAAGGATCTTCTTCTTGGACAGTGCCCTGTTTATGGGATCGGACTGCAGATGTTGACAACAGTATGTCTCATAGTTATCAAGGAGTCTCTAGAGAACACTCACCAAATGAGTCAGGGTCGTATGAAAGTGGAAATATAATTTCATTACCTTTAAGTGAACATAATATGCACTTACTAAATGAGAGATTTGTTGATGGAACAATCCAAAATATTCACATTAAGGAAGAAAAGAGCCAAGATCATGAACCAACATGTACGGATCCAAAGCTTAAAAATTGCGATAAGTGTGGTGAGCTATTTAATTCTGCAAATAGCCTCCTTCTCCATCAGAGGACACATTTGGGGGGAGACACCTGTGAAAAGCAATTGCCTACATCCTCAAATTTCTTTCTACATCAGAAGATGTCATGTACTTGCCCCGTGTGTGGTAAATGGTTCAGTAAAAGGGCTCATTTGCTCATACACCAACGAACTCACACAGGAGAGAAACCATATTCTTGTGCACAGTGCGGGAAATGTTTTTCGAAAAGGTCTCACGTTGTAATGCACTATAGAACCCATACTGGGGAGAAGCCATATGTTTGTACAGTATGTGAGAAGTCTTTCGCCAAAAGGACAAACCTGGTCACCCACCTCAGAATTCATACCCGAGAGAAGCCATTTATGTGTCCTGTGTGTGGAAAATACTTCACAAGACGATCGAACATGGTCACCCACCAAAGAACTCATACAGGAGAGAAACCATACTCATGCCCTGAATGTGGAAAGTGTTTTTCACAGAGGTCACACATGGTAACACACCATAAAACACATTCAGGAGAAAAGCCGTATATTTGCTCTGTGTGTGGAAAAGGTTTTGCTAAAAGGTCCTATTTGGAAGTCCACCAGCGAACTCACAGAACTGAAAAAGTAAATATGTTTAACTCTGTTGAATTTTGACACAATTGGGAAACATTTTACCTGTATATTGTCGATTCACAGGGCCAGGTTTTGAAAGTTTGCTCTACATCATTACTGCCCTACATTTTTATGGTCATTTGTTTCACTCAGATGCAGCTTTGAGTATGGATCCTGATGAATCAACAATTCCATGCTGTAAACTATATAAACTTTTAAAACTGTCATTGACGAGGTTGGATTTAAAAAAGCACAAACTAGGATTATACATTTAAAAGAGTTTGCAAAAAAACAAACAAACCAGAATACTCACACTGACCAGTTTATTTCACGGTTATAAACACTAAAGGGTTTTGTTGGGAAAAAACAATTGGTGCTACTATAACCTAATGTGGGTCACTACTCTACATATAAAAAGTACATTCACAAAACAAAAAACTATTTGTGAGAGCACACCAAATTACATACGCTTGTACCAAAACAGTGGACAAATATATTTTGTTCATACAATATTGCACTATGGTCTGTTCTTTATTTTTTGTTTTAATATATATTATATTTTTTTGTACACCCGTATATAATTTTGGTTGCTCTCGCCAATTCTTTATTTTCATAGTGCAAGGAATAACATACAGGCTTGTGATGCCACAGCAGTGATGACAAGCTTATTGCAAACTCAGACATATACAGACTCATGGCATAAGAAGAAGTTGCACATTTTATATTTTTAGGAAAGTAGAATGCATTACACATGTTAGGTAAGTATCAATGCTGATATAGTTAGCCTAAGAAGATTTTTCAGACATGTAGAGTTGATAGAGTGTTAAGAGAGCATGCTATGCGTACCTAGGTGCGCTCTTCGGTTTTAAAGGGTCGTTATGCCTGTGTAGCCTTCAGGGGGTAAAAAGGGGACACATTAAATAGCAGTAGAACATGCAGCTTGGCACATGAGGGTAAGGATAGAACATGTGAAGCTAGGGCCCACAAAAATGGTGCAAGTCGTGGGTTTAGGGGTGAGCATTAAGACCAGAGGGCTTAGCCCCCGCCTGTCAGAAATTGGGAGCTACCCCAACACGGAACATGACCCATGCAACTGTACCCCACCAGCCCCAGGCCCCCTCAAAGCCCAATGCGTCAGTCTCAGCGTTGGATACTGCCAGGGCCTGGTCTTGAGGTCTCTTAAGAGGTTGATGCGGCTTACGTGTATTAGGGAGTGAGTGGCGTCCAGGGAACTGTCCCGGTTTGGGCCATGGCCCAGGAAGGCAGTAAATTGTTTTTTGTTTTGTGAATGCACTGTTAGTGTGATGTTTGCCAAGTAATAGATTCAGGACCTCAGTCTAGGATGTCTTGTTTGTCAGCAGTTTCACTCAGAACAAATATTCACATAATCTAAAATAAATATATCTGCGGATATTTTGGTATTTTAAAACAATCTGCTGTTATTCTGAATTTATTGATATGGTTTTCATTTTGTTAGTTTTGTTACATCTAGGTGCAATCCTTACATTGAAGCAAGTCAAGTTACAATGTAAGCTAATAAAGTGCAATTAGTCGAGTGCACTCATTTTACCAAGTAAGGGGATGGCTGTGACGCTGGACATAGAAAAAAGATTATTTAGCACTTTTTCATATATAGCAATACGTAGACAGGAAAAGTTAATAACATTTCAACAAACTACTCATTTGACAAAGATCAGTATTTAGTGAGACCCTTATCACTTTTCCTGTGTACACTTGACTAAATAAAGAGGGTTGATATCCATGGAGATGGTGCCAAGCACTGATTTCTACAATATAGACTGGGTTAATCCATAATCCACTTTAAAAATCTATCCGCCGTTCCCTGATTACTAGATCTGTTAATAAATAAAAACGAATAGATTCTACATAACAGCCATTGAGAAGCCCATTGCATTGTAGCCGATCCCAAAGCCTGATTATTATTGGTTTCATGCAGATTGTTGGAAATCCAGTTTACTATAATTTTCTTTAATGAATAATGTGTCGGAGTTTTACAGGTGCCAACACACCTTTGTCTATGGATTAAAGCTTTATAGCCTTTGTAGATAATAAGAAGTTAATTCTTTAGTATAAATGAAGGGTTTATTAGTGTGTGTCAGCAAGCCAACACACAGGGTTACATGAAGAACTTACAGAGAGATGTATAGCCTTCCGATGGAATGATGCTACAAGCAGAAAGATATCCAGGTGGAAGAAATGGAGCATGCAGCAGTTGTAGTGTCACTGTATCAGGGATGTAAATTGATGGTAGAGGAGAACATACACTGGGTACTACAAAGGGTGGATTTCGCTAAAACAAAAGACTTACAACAAATAATTGTTGTAAACAATTTTAAACAATTTGCGTTCATTCAATAGGGCTGTGCGTTCCAGAGCATCACCTCTTGGAGACTTGATAACCAACCATTACAACGTACGGTCTTGATTGGGAGAGTCTAACTGTGTTAATGGATTCAATTCTCTCCTTAAACCATATGTATGCTTTCCTGGTTTGAATAGCTTAACGGCAGTTTTACTTTCTGGAGATGATCTAGTTACTGCAATAGCATGTTTATCCTTAGATATTTACTTACAATACCCTCAGAGGTGTCTGACATTGTGTGTTGTGCCATATCTACAATATGAAACTTTAAAAAGCAAATAAAACCTAAATGGTATCAATACACAACCCTATGGAAGCCAATAGACTTAATCAGCTTAAATGAAACATATTGGAGTACAGAAGATATTGTGTGTTCAAATTTATGCTCAAGGCATATTGGATGTTTATATGTTTGTGTGTGGGTATTGTTTCACGCATTATATGTACATATACATGGTGTATTTATGTATGTATTATAGTATATATTTATATGTGTCTGCATTATATGTACATATAAATTGAATATGTATATAGGTTTGTTCTTTTTGGATAGTTTATCAAAAGCAAATATGTGGATCAGGGTACCAAGATTATATTGAAATTGCCGCGTTACATCTATGCTGTGGCGTTGTAAGTAAATATTGTGTTACAGAAGTCAGAAGAAAATGTTCCGACTGAATGGACCATATAAGCTGGTGTATAAGTCGATCATCAAAAATTACATATGTAATATACGTTTAAGCCTGTATTTACCGGATCTAAAAAAAAGTTTTGGTGGGCTGTATAGCCATGATTTCAAAGTTAAGCTGTAATTTTATCCCATCTGCGTCTAAATGCCGACTTGACGTCTTTATTTTTCAAGCTGTAGATCAGCGGGTTTAGCATGGGAACAGCGGCCGTGTTAAAGAGAGAGAAGAGTTTATTGGATTCCAAACTGTCCTTTGAAATGGGCCTCAGATATTGGCAGACAAGTTTTAAATAGAGAAGGATGACAAGAGTGATGTGTGAGGAGCACGTGTAGAATGCTTTATATTTCCCGCTAGTAGAGTTAATCTTCATAATGGTGGAAATTATAAAACCATATGGGATAAAAGTGAAAAGGAAGGGGAAGGTTGCCAAGAAAAGTCCACAGATCAATATTAGAAGGTTTGAAAGAGATGTGTCATTGCAAGAAAGTTTTAAAAGGGGTAAAATATCACAGAAGAAATGATTTATTTCCTTTGATTTATAACAAGTCAACTGTGATAGTATAACTACATGAGGGATAGTATCTAGAAAACCCCATAACCAACAGGCAATGGACAACGTGGCACAGACTCTACCACTCATTGTAGTTAAATAATGCATTGGGTTGCAGATGGCTACATAGCGATCATAGCTCATAGCTGTAAGAATTAGAAGTTCATTGCACACCAAGGAAGTAAAAACAAATATTTGTGTCATGCAGGCATGGAAAGAAACCGTGCTGTCTTCTGAGATGAACTTCACAAGGACCTTGTGTAGGGTGACAGTGCTGGACATAATGTCCATGATGGAGAGATTACACAGGAAGAAGTACATGGGAGTGTGCAAGTGATGGTCCAAACAAACAAGCAGAAAAATAGTCATGTTACCACCAAGAATGATGAGATAAATCAGCAGAACGAGTAGGAAGATCGGAACCTGCAGCTCTGGGACATCCGATATTCCCTTAATAATGAAATAGGTTACTGGGGGTTGACTTGTGAGGTTCATGGATATTCACGGCGAAATCTGAAAAAGATCCTTTTTCCAATGGCTTGCTTAGTTAATTCCACTACATATAAAAGGGTGAAAGAGAGCACACAAAAAAGATATACAATAATACTTATAAGAGAATGGTACAAAGTACCTCTAGATAATAGCTGCTAAACAAAAATGAACTTCCCAAATTCAATGAATAAATTGTAAGATATTGTGTTGTCAGCGCTTAGTGAATAATCCCCTTAGATATAATCAGGGGTAAATGTCTTAACAAATGTATCTATAATAATTAGAAACAACAATAGCATACAGTGTTAAGAGTATCAATATAACTGATAGTAACAATCAGATTGTAACAAAAAATCTAAATTGTATCTCAGTCCAGTATAAAATATATAGCAAGGTCCAAAGTGACAGGAGGTCCACAGTGTTTGGGAACACAATCTTTGACTTTGAATCCTTTAAAAAAGACAGAAAATATATATAGTGTAATACTGTATTTAATGTCTTAAAACAATAATAGAATCCCCCTCCCCAACATAGGAACCCTTACAGAAGAAAAATGTGGTGCTTATCTCTAAGGACCACAATAAAAGCTTATCTGGCTGCAGTCTTATCTCTCCTCTGCTTCAAGGATGCCGTCCTCGCCTTGTGCACTGAGGCTGGCTGTGGATTCAGTAAAAGTTCTCCTCTTTGTAATTCTGCCTCCGGTTGGCATAAAAACTTGTCATGCTTGTCATGCAGAGTGTTAACAGCAAAACAAGATAAAATGCAGGATGATGGATCACCTAATCAACGCGTTTCGCCCCTCTTGGTGGCCTTTTTCAAGATTATATCTAAGGGGATTATTCACTAAGCGCTGACAACACAATATCTTATAATTCCACTACATGATGCATCATTGTTCCTGTTCTAATGTGTTTTATACCCCACCGACTGTAGACTGTAAGCTCGTTTGAGCAGGGTCCACTACAACCTATCGTTCCTGTAAGCTTTCTTGTAATTGTCCTATTTATAGTTAAATCCCCCCTCTCGTACTATTGTAAAGCACTACGGAATCTGTTGGCACTATATAAATGGGAATAATAATTTATTATCCAGTAACGAGCCATCAGTTACTTCTTTACGGAGGAACTGACTCTTTTCTGGGGTGTAAACTGTGTTAATTTCTTACTATATTTACATATATTTTGATGGCTTTTCTGATAATAGTTAAGACAAGGAGTCCTCCAAGAAGGAATTCATTTAGATATAACTAACTGTTTCAGAATATTAGGGCTTTTTACTAAAGTGAGAATTGGCAGGAATTTTAAATTAATTTCCAATTGAAGGCCAAAATAGAGAAACAGAAGACATTTTCCAAACTAAGCTATGCTTACCGTTCAGCTACTTTGGACTTACATTTGAAATCCACTTTGAATTCATGACTATTCTCTCTTTGCTAAATAACTCCGTATGTAGCGAAATTCTAACTCAGGATTTAGCCATATTATGGTTTTGCGAGATTATTCACATTACTCCGAAACTGAGAGAGTCCATTATATGAGCCCCTTATTAAATTTATAATAACTGTTCAAACAGATAATTATATGGAAATATAATCTATATTACAGCACCAACATATTCCACGGCAATGTACAGTACAAATCATATATGTAAAGTATAATAAGGGTTAGCCGATTGGAATAGGTGTACATTATGTGATTCCAGTTTACATATTTTTACCTAAAATGCAAAAACTTCCCCTAATCTAACAAAAAAATAATAAAAACATTCCCCTGGCCAAAAGCAATCACATCTGTATTTTATAGTCTATTTATTCAGTAGACAGTAACAAAAATGTACAAGCTACAAAAAGGTTGCAGTCTGAAGACAAACAAGGTATAACGGATATAAAGTGTATTGCACATATATGATCATCTCATTTCCTTATTATCTAATAGTGGTAAGATTTGGCAGAAGGAAAAATCAAATGGAAAAATATAAGGTTATTTATTTTAGTCTGATGAACATGGCTTAGGAGAGTTAGTAAGTAGTATGGCACCTGCAACATTTATCAGTACAACTTCTGTATTGTCATGGAATGGACTACTGTCTGATTCGGATAGTGTATAGGTAGGTACACTGAGGTTTTCCACAATCAATAACTCACTGTTTAGTTAATAGTGATACTATTCAATGGTTGCTTGCATTTTTATTTGTTTCTATGTTGAATTAACAAATTATTGACTGGTGTATTTATTTTGTGTGGCCAATGTTAACTAAACAGTGAATTTGTAATTGTAAATAAATCCAGTGCACGTACCTATACATTATCGATAGGTATTTTACTTATACTGATTTTAGATATAATGAAGGGTGTAATTCTTAATACTCACCAAAAATCGTGTGTAGCAACATTCTTTGCCCAATGTGTACACCACCTTAAAAGTATTGTGTTTTTGTTGGAACTGGCCATTCTATATTTTGTCGATTGGTCACTGCTGGTTATAAATATGGATGGCGTGTTTAAAAAAAAATAAAAAAAATTAGTTGCATTGAGGAATTGACAACTGCAAATAGGGGGGTGTAGGGTGGCTGACGTTGAGTGCACATTTAAAAATGGATAATGGCACAAAATATCAACTAAACCGTATTGAAGTGTGCACTTACCTACAATCAACAGTGCCTAATTTACACAGATAAGTTAGAAGATGTCATTATATAGTATGTAGGGGAAGGTTTCTCTAGGGGTGTAAACACAGAAGATTAATTAAGAAATAGATCTTATTCAGAATATTATGAAATATCCCTGAACACTACTAAAAACAGATAAACCCCCATTGACTTTTACTAAAAATATATCTAACCAGATGCTTCTTGGGAGGTGAAAAGGATAGATATTAGAAATGCGATTTTGCTTTATATATGATATATATATATTGCATAGTATTCTTAAAAATAGATTATGATATGATCTCTAAAACAATTATGTTTTCTAGACTTAGAACAAGCTTTTGCCATGCTGAGTCTACATATTATAAACTAATCCCATTTATTTTAATCTGGGGTTTCGTTTCAGCTCAACTTGGCTGGAACTCAGCAGTAAGTACAATAGCAGTAAAATCCAACAAGGAGCACCAAACCAGTACTGAGAGCTCGATAGACTTCCCAACACAATCTGTATCTCTTCGTATAGACCTGTGAGCTTAACTTCTGTGGCTGGGAAAATATTTGAAAGGTTATTAAGGGATAGTATTCAAGAATTCCTTGAGAAGAACATGGTTATCAGCAAAAATCAGCATGGTTTTATGATGCACAGGTCATGTCAAACTAACTTGATTGCGTTCTACGAAGAAGGAAGTAGAAGTATAGATCAGGGTGTTGCAGTGGATGTGATCTATTTGGATTATGTCAAGGCATGTGATACAGTTCCACACAATAGATTAGTGTTCAAACTCAATGAAATTGGTCTAGATGAAAATGCTTGTTCTTGGGTAGAACATTGGCCTTAAAAATAGAGTACAAAGAGTTGTCATTAATGGTAAATTTTCAAGCTGGACAGAGGTGGCAAGTGGTGTTCCCCAGGGTTCTGTTCTGGGACCCATTCTATTTAACATGTTTATAATTGATCTTGAAAAAAAAACATTGAAATTCATGTTTCAGTGTTTGCAGATGACACAAAACTCTGTAAAATAATACAACGTGAGCAAGATTTTAC